AAAAATTAAAATTATATATCTTTATGTTTGAAGCCTGAAATGTGGCGAAATGTTGAAAGGTTCAAGGGGGCCGAATACTTTCGCAAGGCACTGTATCACCTGGAATTAATCAGCTATGGACTAAACCACACCGCTCCTACGACCAAACTAGTGCATGGTTCCCAGACTACAAATTCACATGTGATATTTACATTGGACATTTATGGACATTTATTCACATTTACAGACAGTGATCATCCCGCTTCATGGACCAGTGGCTTCTATTTGTTTGTTATTATAGCATCTCTTGTGTCTGATCTGCTTTTTTGGCGAATCGCAGAGATGAATGCTGTTGTGATTTAGGGCTATACATATTTACACTGAAGTGAATTTAGTCTTGTCTAGGCCAGGCCAGATTTCAAACTTTGATGCATTTGCCATTTGCTGTTAAAGCCATATTGAAATGCTGGTGAGAATGTTATAATTTATAGTTAATATTTATAATTGTTGCTTTATGATGCAGAAATACACACATCCTACAAAAGTATGGCTCCCAAAATTGCCTCTAAATTCTTGCAGTTCTAATGCCGTGAGATTTTCAGTGACGTTTTTGTGACTCCACTTCTTCTACAACTCACATTACTCAAAAATTTCCCCTCTGTGGGACAAATAAAGGTTCTCTTATCTTATCTTAAAACCAACTTGTAAATATATTTCTATGCGTGTTGCTTTTTACCACAGTACGTAAAAAGGAAAGTCCTGTGTTCTAAATGTCATAAAACGTGTATTGAATCCTGCCTACACCTTGTAAAGGCCCAGCTAAATGAGGTTAAAGCCCGTGCCAACACCCAGTGAAGCCGAGTGAAACCAGAGGGACGTAATCTAAACCAGAATCCAAACAATGAAAGTTCAAACACCAGGAAGTGTGCCGCAGCCTGCCCACAACCACAGGGCAGCGCAGGTGCAGGCTCCCAGGGAACTTCACACATGTATCAAGCAATGGAAACACTTTTCTGCACAGCTGGTACTCCCCAACAATAGAGTAGACAAGGCTCAAGGTGACTATATTTGTACCCCTTTATACAAAAAAAAACAATAAAAACACAACAGATAAGTAAAGAATGAAGGCAGACTGTATGTAGCTCAGGGAAGCCCAATAGGGAAGTGGTTGTCTGCTGTTATATACGTACCTGAATGTGTCATTTTGAGGTAATTGCTGACTCTACTGAAGATCATTCTCTGGGGTGATGGGACAGAAGTGAGACCCCCGGGGAAGACAGCCTCGAGATCCAGAGTTTACATGATTATCGTATGAATGGCATATGTGTTTACGTTGACTCAACCCATTCATAAGACCTCTCTGCTAAGTATAAGAACTTCCATATTTGCTCCTGTCTTGGTCCCTCTGCGAAGTCATCTTGAGCAGGGGCCTGGGCTATACAGCAGGTTTAGTCTGTAATTTTCTTGTTATCTGTAATATATACATTAAACCTCTGAAAGCCATATAGATTATTTACCACATGGTCATGGACTTCTCCAACTGTCTCTGGCTCCTATTGACTTGCATCGCAAATTAAACTCCTCTTGCTCATTCACCCTTCACAAAACTTTTTTTTTTTTTTTATTCTATGAAATACACTTACTTGCATTGTTAATAAAGCCCGCCATGTTTCACTTTTGTAAACGTTTCAGCTGGAGGTGTGTTATATAGTTTTCAATGAGAAAGGTTGGGGAACACTGGTTTTGCCCTCAAATGTCCTGGATCATCACTGTTCTTAGACTCTCCTGCATCGGCAAGGAGCGACTGAAAATTTAAACTATGTCAGACCTGGAATGAAGTGTTTCAATAATTAGTTACTTGGGGGCGACAGTAGCTCAGTTGGTAGAGCGTTGGCCTTTGAGCCTGAAGGTGGTGGGTTCCACGGGACCTACTCCAACTGCTCCCTCTAATGTCTGCTGTCATTGTGTCCTTGGGCAAGACACTTAACCCCACTTTGCCTTAAGCTCGCACTGAAACACCAAATCTGTGTCACTGTTAATGGAGCAGCCATCTTCCTGTGGACTCACCACCTGCAGAGGATCAGCGAGGGACTGGTGCTACAGTATGAGCGTTGGGTGGCAGCTCTCATTGTCACCCCCCTGACTCAGAAATTGACTAATAAAGGGGTAGAAAATGAATGAAATGAATGGTTACTTGAGATTCATCAATTCACTTGTGACAGCCATATTTACCTCCAAGCCCAGTGCAATTATAGCTCCAGAGTTTTATTTCATTTTGTCTTTTTCTACTTTATCATCTTGTTACTTATTATGTTATTATTTTAATTTGATCATCTTCAATAATAGACCATGTTTAATGTGTGCAATCTGAGTGCTCTTATTTCCTTCTTATTTTCCACTCTATGGTGCGCATTGATGACATTGTTTTAAATAATCTTAAATAATCTTATATTTTCCTCATATTTCTGTTTATTCTCCATTTCTTTGCATAGTTTTTGCCCAGACATGTTTACAGAGGATTCACACAAACCTTTGACACTCGATCCTAATCTCTATGTACGGATATCATTGTGAGTTAGTAGTGTTTGTGTAGCTTGTCATCTTCCCATCACGAGTGGCTTTTGTTTGGCCCTTGTCGTCTTTTTGAACATAAATCTGTGGAAATCCTCTCAGTATTTCAGAGCGACAGCCGCAGGAGCTGAAACTGTAGCAGTAGGAAAACGCTGCAGCGAGATGAGGCCGATAACCGCTCCGCAGTCTCAAGGCCACAGACAGAGCGGCTTTGTCCGATTTTATAGCAACCAAACCTTCAGAAAATAGACCAACAAAAATGCCAGCTCACATTGTGATTATTTACAACAGGGGTACCTAACTTTCGAACCACAAAAATGAATCCAATGTAATAAAATGCCTCTAAATAGTTCCCTACTTATGAACACAGTCTGGTCATATCACTGGTTTTCCCATGCATGGATTTGGCCTCTGTCACATCTTTAGATCGGCTTCTTCAGACAAAAAAGTAAAATCATGACCACCCCCTATCAGTTCTAAACCCAAAGTGTCAAATAGTGACTCACAGGTTACCTTCTTCCAAGTATACAAAAAGATACCAATTTTTTCTTAAAAGATAAAGACAGCTTGTTGTGGTCTGACTGGTTCTCAACGTTTATGGGGGGGAGGGGGGAAATTAGGTACCCGGGCTTTATTGTCACTCAAGAATGGAGAATATTGGGCGCTGTACTATAGGGCGACCAGTGCTCCGGACAGAGGCCCTAGTGGGGTCCCCAGGCCAGCTGAGAAACAGTCCCTCCTAACCTGTCTTGGGTCTCCCTGCGGCTCCTCCTGGAGGGCATCCAAAGCAGGTAGTTTTCTGCTAACATGGGATAAAGCATTTCTTAATCTTAAAAATGTGTTAATGTGTGAATTTATATTGTAAAAAGCTTATTATGGGGGGCAACAATGGCTCAGTTGGTAGAGCATTGGCCTTTGAGACTTTCTCCATTGACTCCCCCGATGTCTGCTGTCGTTGTGTCCTTGGGCAAGACACTTAACCCCACTTTGCCCGAAGTGCCTGACGTCAAATGGATGGATGGAAAAAGCCTATTATAATACAACACTATGCTTTACTTTAATTATGGTATTTTAATGAATTATATTGATTTGAGTTTTACTTATTCAGTACATCCTGCTATCACATTTGCTGTAGGTGTTTCTTAACCTATTATTATTATTATGGTATGTGGTTGGTGATGTGCCAGGTCTGTCTCTGCATGTAAATGGGAGGAGATGAGAGCTGCATGTTAAGTGCCTGTGTCTCTGGCCTCATCGTCTCGCTCATGGTTCACCTTGTGTTTCAGATCTGCAGCCCACTCACACGGAAAATCATTAACTTATCTTAACTTCTCTCCCTCCTTTGTCCCTGTGTGTGCATGAGTGTGCGTATGTGTTTGTGTGTCTATGTGTGTGTGTTAGTGTGTGTCAGTCCCAGTTTCGCTTCAGACACAGCTGAGTGTTTGTGAAATCCCATCCCACTGGGAAGTAGGTGACTTCTCTTGGGACTCCAGTCGACCAAAAACGCCGGGCAAAAACATGTTCCCGTTGTGTTTGTGTCAAAATATAAATGTTTGTTTTGTCAAGGTCATATTTTCTTCATCTTTGCCAACAATACTTATCTTTTTGACTCACAATTTGGTTGAAGGGAAATGATCAAAGAAAAGTGTGGTTCAGGAGATTTTGTTTGTTTGTGGAGAAAATGTATTCACACCCTTTAGTGGCAGAGTAGTTAGCACTCTCAGCAAAAAGGTCTTGGGTTCAAATACAGGTTGAAACAGGGCTTTTCTGAGTGGAGTTTTTAAATAGCGCTTTATACACTTTGGTATCAAAGTACAACTAATACCGCAGCCACAATTGTCCTAGGGGTGGAATGACGGAAGTGAGGCAACTGATCGGACCGGCTAACCTCCACACACACTCTCACACACACACACACACACACAGATCAGAATCATTCTAGGTAATGTGGGCAAGGTAATGACGTCTTGTTTATAAGGACACAGCCACAGCCGCCCCACTGCAGCACCCGGTGTTCTCAGCTGTCTCCCATCGCAGTACTGTCCAGTCCCAGTCCTGCTTTGCTTGTGATGTCTGACAGAATCATACCTGCATCTGTCCATACCGAAAACTAAAGAATTAATGCTAATAACACTAATGTACTGCCAATGTATCCGATTTACTGTGATTTGACTGTATCTTGACTTGCTTTCAACAATATATTTAGTAACATATGGTGAAATTCTCCAAAACCTTGTCTCGTATTTTGATTCAGTCTTGGCAATAGACTGTAAATATCTTATCCCATCAATGCTAACATGATGGGACAAGACCAGACAAGACCTTACATGCTCGAATGTTTACTCTGGATACAAAGTTGACTTCCCTAACTGCTTCTGTCCTTGTGAAGCCGTGTGCTAGCGTCAGCCCAGTCCTGCTCTGACCTAATCTGTGTGTTTTATCTGCTGCAGGGACGTTATCACCCGGAGAGCACACCTTCCCCTTCCAGTTTCTCATTCCAGGTGAGTGTGTGTGACTCCGCCCACTCTGTCCCAGTCAGACCATGCACTGTAAACAGCTAACCTGCTAGCTCCCTAAAGCCTACTGCTAGCTCCAGGGGTTTTACTAGGTTTTATTTGGACTTTTTTCATGTGATTTAGTTTGACTTCCTGTCCCTTTTCCCTGTTGATTGTCTGCTCCGCCCATAGGCCCCGCCCTGATGTGTTTCACCTCTGTACCTGTGCTTTTCTCCTCTTGTTGCTGGTCCATTGTCAATGTCTTTTCTTGTCCTTGTCTGTCGGTTTCCTGGTTCCCGTGCTCTGTTTGGATTTAGATTTTTTTCTTATCCTTGGACTTTTATTTTTCATCATTAAATCATTATTATTTTTGCCTTCCTGCGTTTTGACTCCTCCTTCCCTTCACCACATGACAATGCTAGTGTTTTGGTGCTAGTGCTAATGGTCCTTTTAATGTTCTTGTCAAGGTGTAAGAACCGTGGACAAAACACCAAGCTAAACTCAAATCATGACAAAGAGACTGTGAAGACTCTTTCACCATAACATGGAGTGAAAACTGCATAAAAATACAGAAAAACAAGAAATATTCAGTTTCACATAAATGATGTTTACCAGGCATACTACAAATGCAGCTTCTCTTAGCATAGCACATTTTAGCAAACTTAATCATGTATTTCAAATGAACTAACTGCAATTTTTTTATGAAATAAACTTTGATTCACACAAATATAAGTATCTAATCATGTTCCAGTTACTTACGACATTGATGGACCAGTCTTTAGCAAAAGATGGACATGGATTCTGTAGCTGCAACTAGAGGAGCTCTGTGCCATTACAGGGCTTGTAAACAGGAAGTGACGTCACAACTAAACTTTATCGACAAACTTTGAACAACAAAAGTGAACAGACTGACTTCTGCAAATTATAAACAACACAGTCCTAGTGCTCTTATTTCTCCTTCTATTCAGCTGTAATGTGCGCAACTATGACATTAAAATTTCCCCTCGAATAAACGTGACGGATAAAGGTTTAACGTGTCTTATCTTACATTATCTCGTTTTGGCTTTTCGTCCTTGTGCTAACGTATTTGCTAGTGCTAGTGTTTGAATGCTAGTGCTAATGGTCCTTGTGCTAATGCTTTGATCCCACCGTCTTTGGCTTCTATTGACTCACATTGAAAAGTTTGTATCTAAGTGTTTGTGTCATACAGTCACCAATTTGGGATTCAAAGTCAGTGGTTCAATGACAAAGCACATTTATTTGTATGGCACGGTTCATACACAAAGGTGCTCAACAAAACAAGATAGAAACAATCAGTAAAAAGAGTGAAGATACAGTCCTTCAGTTGTTTCCTGTTCCAGATATTAGCAAGATAAATATTGCAATCAAGCGTCGCAATCAGCTTCAGCTCGCAAATACTAAGCATAAACAGTCTAGAGTCGCTCTCGATTGGTTCTTTGGTTGCTAGGTCGTTGCTATGCACAAATTTGGCTCTAGAGCTGGTTTGAGTTGGCTCCATCAGGCACTATGGGTGATGTCAACTCTGGGTCAGTCCTTCCTTCTCTGGTCTGTGATTCAGACTCATCTCATGTTGGTGATGTCACACATATTAACACATAGTCATGACGGAATACTTTGCACTTTACACTTGGACGCACAGAAACTATCAGAACTTCCAGCGTGGCCGTTTTGACTGCTCCCATACAAACTAATGATTTCTGCGTAATTCCCCCCAAAAGAGGTTTTGTTTTCAGTTTTATCAATTTCAGTTTTTTTTATTTATTAGGCTAGATGCTAACTGCTGACAGCAAACAGTGTGTTGCTATGGTAACCAGCTCTTCTCGCTCTTCTCTGGTGGAAAACCAAGCTTACTCGGCTCAGATCCAGTCCAGAACCTGACCAGGACCAGTGCAGTCCAGTCTGGCCCAGTCCAAGACCAGACCAGACCCAGTCCAGCAACCACCATCTTTTTTTTTTTTTTGGTGCTTAATTTTTAATTTCGCTTAATCTGCCACAGAAAGATGGCTGCCCAAAAAAAAAAATAATGTTAATCTTGAAGCGACTGAAACAGATAAAGTCACGAACTTTGTAAGATCAATGTACATGTGCTGAGTAATTATGCTTCCAAAACTAAAAACCGTCAATTTGACTGTTCTGAAGTACAGGTCAGGAGGGCGGATTTTAAATAATGAAACTATAACACATGTTAGTTTTGGGTCATTTCATTGGTTCGGGGGAAAAAAACAGACCAAGTGTTGGTTGGACCCGTGTTGGCTTTTCACCACAGAACAGACAGAAAACTTGTCAAAATGAAAGAGTCAAAACAAAAAATCAGTCTTCTGAAGATGAACCAACGCAAACTCTGTGCTAATAAAAATAAACTCGCCTTCCCTTGCCAATACTCACCACTTTATTACCTTATGAGTCACATGACAAAAGTCTATGGAAAGTTTTTCATCACATGCAGCAATTTAGACACCAACATATTTTTACAAGGACTTGGATTTTTATGTGAAAAGACAGGTTACAATAGACTGAATAGAGCCACAAAATGAATTATCACAGCGTCCATTTCACCTAAAGATGAATATTGTATGTGTTTCCGACGGTTCTTGGGTGTCTCTGCTCAGACTGCTCCCAGACCTGGCTCCAGACATAGTCCCAAATCGTCCAAATTGTGTAATATTATCAGGAAAATTAAAACCCTCTCAGTGCTTTTGTATGGGCATATTTTGTGTAGAGTTTCCAAAACAGCATGATCTGATGTATGGACTTTGGACTTATTATTAAGACATGGCTCCCAATGTGAGTCCGTGGGTGCAGATAGGACACGCAGGGGGCACGTTATTTTTATCCTTATTTGTGTGGGATCTAATGAGTCCAGCTCCTCCTCTGACAACAGTGACGCTCAGAGGACGACACTGCCCCCTACTGTTCACAAGCTGTTTATGCGCTCACTAAACACGCAGCTGTGGGGGTCCAAGCAAAACGAAAGCCTGATACATATTTATCATATCTATAGTGAGAGTCTCTGTTTGTCACTTTAAAAGCACAAGGACAAGAGCATGGAGTGAATAGAACCAAAACAACATGGTAGTTATTCCAATGCACTGCTAAAAAGGATCAAATATGAGGTAATTAATGCTTAAACTAAGTGTTTTTATCTTAATTTGAGAGCATTCTGACCAGATCTGCCAATGGGACATTATTTCAAGAAATGTTGCTCGGTTTTTTGTGTTCATAAAATGAATGAAAAGAGAAAGAGAGACCAAAGCGAGAGACCAGAGAGCAAGAAAGAGAAGAGAGAAAGAGACCAGAGAGAGAGACTAGAGAGAGACCAGAGAAAGAGACTGGAGAGAGACCAGAGAAAGACCAGAGAGAGAGAGACCAGAGAAAGAGGCTAGAGAGAGACCAGAGAAAGAGACCTGAGAGAGAGAGATAGACCAGTGAGAGACCAGAAAGAGAAAAACCAGAGAGAGAGAGAGACCAGAGAAAGAGACCTGAGAGAGAGAGACCAGAGTATGAGACCTGAGAGAGAGAGAGAGGCCATAGGAAAAGACCTGAAAAAGAGACCATAGAGAGACCAGAGAGAGAGACCTGAGAGAGAGAGAGAGAGAGAGACCAGAAAGAGAAAAACCAGAGAGAGAGACCAGAGAAAGAGACCTCAGAGAGAGAGAGAGAGAGAGAGGCCAGAGTGAGAGAGTGGCCAGAGAGACCAGAGAGAGAGAGAGAGAGAAACTCATCAAACTAAACGGTGCTTGTTTATTACAGATGATGTCACTGCTGACGCTAACTCCATTCACTCTGAGCTCATGTGTTTTTATCTGACTCAGTGGAAAAAGAGGGTGAAGAGCGGAGCAAAGTCTGCGCTGGTTCCACCTTGTGCAACGACAACGAATACTGATCAGTCACCGACGTTATATTTTAACTTATTTTTGCTGAAACATGAAGCTAAGATTATACTGTAACTTTCTTATCAACTTTTTTTACAATGTTATCTCTCCTGTGACAGAGGGAAACAAACAAAACATGTTATATAGTGCGTACTTGAGAGAGAGCCCTGTGAGTCACTATTCGGCACTTTGGGCTGAGAGCTCTTTTTCACTTTTCTGTCAGAAATTGAATAAAAATGTATTGAGAGAGGTTGGATTTTATCACGTGTTTAGGGATCACAGAAATCAATCATTTCAATCTTAAAATCAATAATGCAACGTATACGACAGTCATAGTTTTTGAGTTTTTTCCTAGTTTGAAAATATAAAGTGCTAGTGTCTTCATTTTCCTTTTCAGACTCAGTGAAGTGAGACCTGCCTCTGTCGCCTCCAGCTCATCTCCCTCGTTTCCTTTCCTCTGTCCTAGTTCTGTGTCCTTTCCTGTGTCCTTATCCCTCCTGTCCTTGTCCTCTTTAGCGGTCTACATTCAGTGGTAATAATACATGTGCAAAAAGATTATAGTTAAAAACACGTTTCTATGTCTCTGCTTTCTACGTCGATAGATAAATGCACAAACTGGATAATAATGGTGTAAAAATAGCATGAAATATTTGAACATCATAAAAACTATATTTTGCATTATTGATTTAAAGCAGAAACAGATTATTGTCATTTGGGTTCATTTTGTCTTCTGAGTAGTTTTAGTTTGTAGCAAGCGACCTGTGACCCAGAGATAGAGACCAGAGAGAGAGGGACCAGAGAGAGACCAGAGAGAGAGACTTGAGAGAGACCAGAGAGAGAGACCAGAGAGAGAGACCAGAGAGAGACCAGAGAGAGAGACTTGAGAGAGACCAGAGAGAGAGACTTGAGTGAGACCAGAGAGAGAGACCAGAGAGAGACCAGAGAGAGACCAGAGAGAGAGACCAGAGAGAGAGACCAGAGATAGAGACCAGAAAGAGACCAGAAGGAGACCAGAGAGAGACCAACGAGAAAGAGAGACCAGAGAGAGACTAGAAAGAGACCAAAGAGAGACCAGAGAGAGACCAGAGAGAGACCAGAGAGAGAGAGACTAGAGAGAGACTAGAGAGAGACCAGAAAGAGACCAAAGAGAGAGACTAGAGAGAGACTAGAGAGAGACCAGAAAGCGACCAGAGAGATACCAGAGTGAGAGACCAGAGGGAGACCAGAGAGAGAGGGACCAGAGAGAGACCAGAGAGAGAGACTAGAGAGAGACCAGAGAGAGAGACCAGAGAGAGACCAGAGAGAGAGACCAGAGATAGAGACCAGAAAGAGACCAGAAGGAGACCAGAGAGAGACCAGCGAGAGACCAGACCAGAGAGAGACCAGAGAGAGACCAGAGAGAGACCCAAGAGAGACCAGAGAGAGAGACCAGAAAGAGACCAGAGACAGAGACCAGAGAGAGAGACTAGAGAGAGACCAGAAAGCGACCAGAGAGATACCAGAGTGAGAGACCAGAGAGAGACCAGAGAGAGACCAGTGAGAGAGAGACCAGAGAGAGAGACTAGAGAGAGACCAGAGAGAGACCAGAGTGAGAGACCAGAGAGAGACCAGAGAGAGACCAGTGAGAGAGAGACCAGAGAGAGAGACTAGAGAGAGACCAGAGAGAGACCAGAGTGAGAGACCAGAGAGAGACCAGTGAGAGAGAGAGAGAGACCAGAGAGAGACCAGTGAGAGAGAGAGAGACCAGAGACAGACCCAGTTAGAGAGACCAGATGTTGGACACTTTGCCTTATTATAAAAGCAGAGTTGTGATCCAGTTGTAAAACCCGGGTTCCGTTGTGTTCCAGCCGCGGTCCCCACATCGTTCGAGGGACCGTTCGGGAAGATCTTTTACCGCGTGAAGGCCGCCATCGACACGCCGCGTTTCTCCAAAGACTACAAAGCCCAGCGCCAGTTTTACCTCCTCAACATGCTGAACCTGAACATTGTCCCCGCCATCCAGGTCAGTGTGTGTGTGTGTGTGTGTGTGTGTGTGTGTGTGTGCGCGCGCCGGGGAAGTGGGAATTATCGGCATATTGTGATGTCTACTTTTGCTGCACGTATGGGAGTTGAAAATTTGCAATAGCTATAAACTCTTTATCGCAACTCTTTATCGCATCAGTTACAAGCTTGTTTTGTTCTATGTTGACTTGCAATATCCCTGTCAAATAAATGAATACATAAAATAATAAAATAATAAGGATTTTCACTAATAAAATAATACATATATATATATATATATATAAAAATAAATTAGTGGATCTTTCCTGTTTCTGTGCAGCATCCGAGTTACGCCGTGGTCACGAAGAAGTTCACGTACATGTTGGTGAAGACGGGGACGCTGATGCTGAAGGTGCACAGTGACCTGAGGGGCTACATCCCAGGACAGGTCATCAGACTGTCCACAGAGATACACAACAAGTCTGGGAAGGACACGGGCTGTGTGCTGGCCAGCCTCATCCAGGTAACCCCCCCCTCTTGCAATAGAGTGTAATCAAGATGTATCTACAGTTGTGTACTGTTACGGCCCGGCTCGTGGAACCGCAACAAAAAAGGGAGGACACGACAAATGGAGAGATTTTAAACCCTCGGTGGGGTTTTCATTTGAAAGAATCTGCAAGTAATGAATGAATGAATGAATGAATGTTTTATTTGGACATTTGAAATGAGAAACAACAAAACAAAAGCAATGTAATTATACATTGCTTTAGCAAAATAAATAAACATTTGATGTCCAAAATAGGAGTGGGAAGTGTTGCGAATGAAAGTTGGTAAGATAATGTTGTGTAGTGCAAATGTTGTGTTGTTGTGCGTGTAAATGTACCGTTGTGGCTGGTTAGGTCAGGACCGCAGGCTGATGGCGGCAGTCCAGGCACGCCGGTATGTGCCCAGAAGCCAGGTGAGAGAGTGAGAGAGGAGTAGGAAGCCACTTTTTACACATCCGGGAGCCCCCACGTGACTTCCCGGGCGCCTCCTGTAGTCTCTCCTTAACTACGTCTTCTTAACTTGTTTTTCTCTTTATTCCTCTCCGTCTGTGTCCCCATCATATATGTCTGGGGTTTGGCTGTAGACAGTGTTTTACTGAGCCAGCAGGTGTCAGCATTACTCTGTGTCTGTCTTGGTCAAAGATCAATGCCTGAGCACTCTGAGCAGGAGAGACAGAGGCGGAGCAGGCATGGAGGAATATAGTCAGGGACAGGCTATATTTGGAGGCAGTTTGAGCAGTAATTGTGTCTCTAGAGCTGACAGAGACCATGTGGAGGGTCATAGCAGCTGACCATGTGGAGGGTCAGGGCAGCAGACCATGTGGAGGGTCAGAGCAGCAGACCATGTGGAGGGTCATAGCAGCTGACCATGTGGAGGGTCAGGGCAGCAGACCATGTGGAGGGTCAGAGCAGCTGACCATGTGGAGGGTCAGGGCAGCAGACCATGTGGAGGGTCAGAGCAGCAGACCATGTGGAGGGTCATAGCAGCTGACCATGTGGAGGGTCAGGGCAGCAGACCATGTGGAGGGTCAGAGCAGCAGACCATGTGGAGGGTCATAGCAGCTGACCATGTGGAGGGTCAGGGCAGCAGACCATGTGGAGGGTCAGAGCAGCAGACCATGTGAAGGGTCAGAGCAGCAGACCATGTGGAGGGTCAGAGCAGCAGACCATGTGAGGGTCAGAGCAGCAGACCATGTGGAGGGTCAGAGCAGCAGACCAGCGGTGCACCCCAAAAAATGCCACAGAAAAGTGGACTTTTAATAAAACTATCACTGAGTCCGCACCAGGAGCCAGTGGCAAAGTCCAGTTATGGTCACAGCGCTCGGCGGACTAAACAGAACCACACTCTGTAGATGTAACCACACAAACGCACATGCGCGCGCAAACACACAAAGACACACAACAGTATTCTATTGCACTTATAGTATAAGTATATTGTCTGTTCACTTTGGTTTATTGTCATTAATAGTGTTTATCATAGTAATTTTGTTATTCTGTGATTTACTGTTATTGACATAAATATAGCGCCACCTAATGGATGAATACTGGCCATTCTTTCTGGCATAGTTTGTCATGGGCTCTACTTTCAATATGAAAATGTAAACATTTTTTGGATGAGTACTTTTTGAAATATTCGAGCAACACTTTGTGGATGTGAGTGTGTGTGCCATAAAATGTATTATTTTCATCAAAAACACTTTCTCATAACTTGTTGTTGTAAACTAAATAGTTACAGTCACTTTTCTGCAGGTTCGTCTGTTTTCACAAACACCTCATTTTCTCAGCTTTTCTGTGATTTTTTTCACACTCCCCTCTTTTCGACTGGCAATTACAGTAGAACCAAACAAGCTAGAAACAAACTTCTTTTTGCTGCTGAAAGTAGACAGTCCAGTCTCTCAGACTTTGGTTTCATATTTGTCATAGTCATAGCACACAATATTCTGTGAGTCTTGGAAATCAGTGAAGTCATCAAAAATGGCCGGCAGTCATTACAACAATATCAATACACTGCCACCAGAGCACCAGCAGAGGGGGCTGTCACATATACATACAGGTATATACTGTATTCTGCTGCTGGTTTTGAAGCTTTGTTTTTTTTAAGTATAGAGTTGTGCCATACTTCTAATAATACCTGGAGAATTAGGATTAGGGTTAGTATAATGTTGTGTGCTCCTCGTTACTGTTCTGTAACTTGTGATGCAACACTGACATTTCTCCAGTGTGGGACCAATAAATACATAAATCTCATTAGACACCATGTGGGAGATGGTTCCTGGTGCCACTCTCTGACCGTGCTCTGTGCGTCCACAGAAGGTGACGTACCGGAGCAAGCGGCCGGTGATGGACCTGCGCACCATCGCGGAGGTGGAGGGCGCCGGTGTGAAGGCCGGGAAACACGCCGAGTGGAGGGAGCAGATAATCGTCCCGCCGCTGCCTCAGTCCGCTCTGGCTGGCTGCAGCCTCATCCACATCGAATACTTCATCCAGGTCCGTGGTATCAGCAACACCACAGGCCTCTGCTGGTTTTATACGTGTTTCTTTGATGCTAGAGTTAGAGTTTTTGGTTTTATTTAAATTAGTATACTGTAGTTATTGTTTGTGTAAGCTCTCAGTCGTTCAGGGATTAGTCAAAGCCAAGGAAGGTTTCTCACCCATCATCTGTAGGATTGTGTTATTTGGAATCCAAATAACACAATCCAAATTTTGGATTCCCAAAAAACCTATACTAAACCTATTTACTGTATCTTGCTGTAACTCAAAAAATATAGTCTGTGCAAGATATTATAATTCCCTTATCCAGTGTTGTGTGCTCCTCTTTCCTACTGTTTTGTAACTTTTGATGCAACACTGAAATTTCCCCGCTGTAGGATGAATAAAGGATCTCTTCATCTTAATCTTTACATTAGGTCTCCCAGTGCAGTCATTCTACTCCCATTCAAAGTGGAATTCAAAGTAATTACAAAAAATATAGTTTGTTTTCCACCAGTTTAATTCACTGTAAATATTGTAAATGGTTCTTGTCTTTACTCACTTTTAGCGCTTCTTAAAAGTGCTAAAACTGTTGAATTTAATGTATAATAAACAGCAAAAACAGTTTGGTGAAAGGCTAAACGCTAACGGCTGCAAGTAAACAGTCTGTTGCTATGGTAAATACATAAGGGATAATGTATCGTACACAGATCATTATCGGAAAATAAGTACCGACAGGGCGAAGCGGACCCCGCCCTGAAGGTACTTATTTTCCGATAATGACCTGCGTATGATACATTATCCCGCTTATTATACGGCTTTGTACCAACAGAACACACAAAATAAACTTCAGTCCACTTTTAGGAATGCCATAAGGTTTATTTAATGACAGAAAATAAAATAGTTCCCAAAGGCTTTCCCGTGGCTATGCGGGAGGCTAGCAACTTTCAAAATGAGTTCTAGTTTGAAAGTTGCTAGCCTCCCGCATGAAAAGTGAACAAAGAATTGTGAACATGAGTGACCCAAACATGAACTGAACCTAAATCCATAATTTGATCCTCTGCAAATGTGTCCTAAAATGTCCCGGAATCTACTTCCGGGTTTTTTGCGATCGGTTTTTCTCGCATTAAAACAGTATTTTTGTCATGAAAACCTTAACAGAAATTTCTGAAATCCTCCGTGCATGTGTATTAAGAATGTATATGTCTAATTTATTCTCTGATTAACATTTAGATGTGTTGATTGATTGGTATTTGCGTTTATTGAGCGTTGCTAGCTCCGTAGTGGCTGGAACTACTTCCGGGTTTTTTGCGATCGCGTTTTCTCGCATTAAAACAGTTTTTTTGACATGAAAACGTTAAAAGAAAATTCTGAAATCCTCCGCGCACGTGTATTTAGCATGTGTATGTCTTGTGAATTCTCTGATTAACATTTAATTGTGTTGATTGATTGGTATTTGCGTTTATAGAGCGTGGCTAGCTCCGGAGTGGCCGGAACTACTTTAAGATAAGATAAGATATTCTTTATTTATCTCACAAAGGAGAAATGTACATGTCACATCTGGCATGGATAGAACACTCAAGATTGTGCAAAAAGAAAGAAATGTGCAAACATGTTAAAGCAGGATATATTGTGTACAACTTGCGGAGCAATCTACACACATGAATTACAAGCAGAGAGTGCGTTGCCATGGGCAACGGTCAATATTGTTTTGAGAGGTCCGTTATAAGAAATATAAGTATACATATTTTTTTTTTTTTCCAGGTGTCGCTGAAATCCCCCGACGCTGTAGTGACGCTGCCCATCTACATCGGGAACGTGGCGGTGGAGCAGTCGCCGTCCTTGCTCCCAGACCCCTCCTCCTGCAGTGGGATCGCTCCAGCCCCCAGCGCTCCTCCCTGTGAGGACCACCTGGACGACCTGTGCACCGGCGGCAGTGAGGAGCTCCCCACCAAGAGCCACTCCCAGCAGGTGAAGTGCTCATGGGGAAGATTCCACCGTTTGCTCCGTTTGTCTGAGTCTGGGGGGGCACTGTGACTCTCTCTTTCTCTTGCTCAATCTTGCTCTTTCTCTCTCTTGCTCTAACTCTCTCACTATTTCTCTGTCTCTCTCTCGTGCTCTATCTCTCACTCTCTCTATCTTACTCGCTCTCTCTCTCTCTCTTTCACCCACTCTTTCTCTCTCTTGCTCTCTCTCTCTCTCACTATTTCTCTGTCTCTCTCTCTTGCGCTCTATCTCTCACTCTCTCGCTCTCTCTTACTTGCTCACTCTCTCTCTTTCTCCCACTCTTTCTCACTCACGCTCTTTCTCTCTCTCGTGCTCTCACTCTCTCCCTCTCACTCTTTTTCTCTCTCTCTCGCTTTTTCTCGCTCGCTCTCTCGGTAGCTCTCTCTCGCGTTCTCTCACCCACTCTTTCTCTCTCTCGCACTCTCTCGCTCCCTCTCTCACTCCACTGTGTGTCCTCCACAAACACACACTCTTCTCTAAATGAGCCCCCTGAACTATTTAAACTAAAGAATCCAAAATCAACGCTTGTGGAACAGTCTTGTGTCAATTCTAGTTTTGGTATTGATTGATGGAGATATCATTTTTTACAATACCACAGTTGTGACTCCATAAATGCGTACATGTTTTTTGTCTTTGCGATATATCAATTATTTTATGTACAGTATGACAAAAATGTGACATCAATATGCAAAGAACAATGCCTCAACAACATATTTGCACTTTACACTTTTTGTAATTGTCAAATTCCTCCCCACAGGACTCCAGTGGACAGCCTGTGACCCCCGGAGCAGCTCTGCCCCCTGGTGGCCTGTATCCTGACCTGTCCGCTCCATTCTTCTGTTTGTCCACGGGGGCCACCATCCCCTTCTTCACCGAGGGCAGCGACATCACCCCCATCCCCACCTCCTGCTCCCTCATCCTGCCTCCAGAGTACAGCAGCTGGGACTTCCCTCAAGGTCAGACTGGAACTGGACTAAGTGACTGGACCAACAAAACCAGGATGAATGAAACTTAAAGTAGTACTAGAATTTAATATGCTGCTATCCAGAATATATAACTACAATATGTGTTTATAATATTTCGGGTGTTCATTTTGACATGTTTAGATGAATTATGTTTAAAAAACGGCTTTCAAGTGGCACCTTTATAAAAACGCTAGGGGGAGCCAAAATGGCGGCGATGACGTAGGAGAAGGACATCTCACAGCAGCAGACAGCAGTCTGGTTGGAAACTGTAGGAGGTTTCACTGTCATCTGAACAAGGTATAAACCTATTTTCAGCAGTTTTGTACATAATAGTGTGCAACTCTTTTAATCTTTTAGCCTTATTTGTGAGATTCAAGCTAATTAGTGTTGGGCAAGTTAGCTAACTCTACTTGATATCATAAAACATGCTAACAAGGCTAATATTCGTGTTTACATTATGCCAGGCTCACTCTGGTTGCCTTGAATTTATTTACCACAATGTACATTGTAATATTCAAAAATGCTAATCAAAATAACTTTAATTAAATAAATATTTTACTTTTATGAACAAAAAGCTGCAGAAGTTGAAAATATAGACTACATGTGATGCAATCATTGATAAAAATGCTAATTAAACCGTTAATAGGTGTTAGCATTTATGGATATTACAATGTACATTGTGGTAAATAAATCTAAGGCAACCAAAGTGAGACTGGCATAATGTAAAAACGAATATTAGCCTTGTTAGCATGTTTTATGATATCAAGTAGAGTTAGCTAACTTGCCCAACACTAGTTAGCTTGAATCTCACAAATAAGGCTAAAAGGTTAAAAGAGTTGCACACTATTATGTACAAAACGGATGAAAATATGTTTATACCTTGTTCAGATGACAGTGAAACCTCCTACAGTTTCCAACCAGGCTGCTGTCTTTTTTTTTTTTTTTTTATTATTAAACATTTACAAACAACAAGGCACAAAACCATTCAAATCTTTTCAAGGCAGATTCGGTTGAGTAGAAAAATAATCTATAAACAGTGTAATATGAAGGCAAGTTGAAAATAAAAAGTAAATAACATATAAGAAAGAAAATTAACTACAATAGATAAATAAATAAAAGAAATATATATATTATGATTGTTAATCACATTGATTATAATAGTAAAATAAATAAAAACAAAAAAAATTTTTTTACCTCAGATTTAAGGGTCAGTTAATTTGTATTGTTTTATTTGATTCAGAAGCTCTATTGCTTTGTTTGATTTCATAACTTTTAAGGATTTGCAATATATATTAAAGTCATTAATAAAACCCCTAAAAGCAGGAGGAGATTTGAAAAATTTGGATTTATGAATATAGTGTTTTGCTAGTATGAGGATTGCGTTGACCAGCAGGTTTTCTAATTTGCTCTCCAAAACCATTCCATATAAAATATCAACATATGACGTTAATTTAACTGATACATTCTTTTTTTCCAACCACTCTTCAATCTGATTCCAAAAAACTGTAACAAATTTACAGTCAAAAAAAATGTGACGAGTGGTTTCTACTTCAATTTTACAAAAGGTACATTCATTACTCTCAAAGTTAAATCTTTGTCGTAAAAATTCACTTGACGGATATATGTTGTTAAGAAGTTTGAAATGAATTTCTTTGGACTTAGGAAGAATAGGATACCTCAGATATTCTGTTAGTAATTTCTTGACTTTAAATGGCTCGTATTCTTTAAGATCTTGAATTCGGCTGTATTGTTTCGAATAAAGCTCACTAGTGAGTACTTGTCTAATAAATCTGTTATTACATTTTTTGTCAAAAAAATTTAGATCGTCTATGAAAAAAATTGGTAGCCTAGAAATTGAATTGGAATGAACGACAATCTCTCTAGCCAACAGCAAGAATGGTTTTGGAATTGCATTAATAAGACAGAAAAATTGTTTTGGGTGACAAAAAAAATTCCATTTCATGCTAAAGTCATTATATGAGAGCAGGTTACCATTTAAGTCCATCAAATCAAAAATGCACCAAACATTTTTGTCCATCCAGTCCTTGTAATACATAGATTTGTTCCTGTGAAGAATGTATCTGTTGTTCCAAAGTGAAGTCGTGTGAGGAGTGAAATTATGTTTGTACAACATCTTCCAATAAAAGAGAACCTGCTGGTGAAAACTAGACAACTTAATATTAAGTTTTCTGACCTCAAAATCACATTTTAACAGAAACTGTAACCCACCACAAGATGAAAAAATATTATTGGGGAATATATTCCAAAAGTTTTCTGGATTTTTCAGAAATGATTTTAGCCAATTATTTTTGATTGTTCCATTCATACATTCATAATCGATAGCCTTAAGGCCACCATGTTCATAATCCTGAAGCAAAACCGCTTTTTTTAAGTAGTGCGTTTTGTTGTTCCAAATAAAGTTGAAATTTAGTTGATTTATAGCTTTGACAAATGATGGCTCCAAAGCTAAAGAGTATGTAGGATGAAGGATTCTAGAAATACCATCGACCTTTGTAAGCAAGATGCGACCAAAAATAGTAAGATCCCTTTGTAACCAAAGATTAAAAATATTCTTACATTTTGCAAGTTTTTCTTCAAAATTTTCCTGATGTCTCTCTTTTGGACTTTTAGTTATATTTATTCCTAAATATTTTATGTTTTGTTTGACTTTGATTCCATGTATAGAGTTATGGGGCACACATTTGAGTGCTAAAAGTTCGCATTTATCCAAATTTAGAAATAGACCTGAAGCTTTGGAGAACACCTCGATTGCTTGTAATGCTGTGGGTATTTGTTTGTCATCTTTCAGAAAAAAAGAGTGGTATCATCAGCGTATTGACTAATAATGAGTTCCTGACCAAAAACTTCAATTCCTTTCAAAGTCTCAATACTTTTTAGATGGATTGAAAGCAATTCTGCTGCTAAGATAAACAAACCAGGACTGCAAGGACAGCCCTGAATAATACCTTTATTTATATCAAATCGACCTGTTGAACCATAAGATAATGCTACTGAGCTATTTCTATCTTTATAAAATACTTGCATGGTGTTAATAAATTTAGGTCCATAACCAAAGGTTTGTAAAGCTTGTGTTAAGAAAGGGTGCTCTAAGTTATCAAAAGCTTTTTTGAAATCTAAGAAAAGCAGCAAGCTATTGTCATCATTGATAAATTCTTCATAATCGATTAGATCAAGCACTAGCCGAATGTTGTCATGTATTGATCGGTTACTCATGAATCCTGTCTGAGTCATGCTGATGATCTCGGGGAGTGTATCTTTTAGTCTTGAAGCATATATATGAGAAAATATTTTATAGTCATTGTTCAGGAGTGTAATGGGTCTGAGATTGTCTATAAGTTTTTTATCCTTACCAGGTTTTGGTATAAGCACTATTACTCCTTGTTTCATTGTTGGTGGAAGGTTTTGTTTTTCAATTGATTCTCTAAATACTTCCAGCAACATTTCTCTTAACTCATTCCAAAAATGTTTATAAAAGTTTGAAGTCAGGCCATCAGAACCTGGGGACTTGTTGAGTTTTAGTTTCTGAACAGCTTTATCTAATTCATTTAGAGATATGTTAGAGTCACAGAGTTTGATAGATTCATTTTTTAGTTTAGGAGTGTTATATTTTTTGATTTCATTAAAAAAAGAAACTGCGTCTGTTGATGAAAAACCAGATCTGTATAAAACAGAATAGAATGAAGAAATTTCTTCTGCTATTAGTTTGGGGTCTGAACATTCTATACCATTTATTATTAATGAATTGATTTCATTTTTTCTTTGCCGGCCTTTTTCTAATTTGTAGAAGTATGATGAGTTTTTTTCCGCTTCTTCGATCCATTTAGCTTTAGATCTAATGAAAGCACCCTTTGCTTTATTTTCATAGAATTGGTCTAATTGATTTTGGAATTCAAGATGCTTCTGAGTTTGTTCATTTGATGGATATGTAATATTACATAGAACGTTTATTTTGATGACCAGATCTTTTTCTTTTTTATTCCTTAATTCAGCAAGTTTTTTGCTATAACTTATTGCAAATTGTCTTATTTTGTATTTCAAAAATTCCCATTTTCCACAGTGTGTAGCAATATCATTATCATTTTTAATTTCCTTAATCAATGCACTCACTGTTTGACAAAACTCTTCATCCAATAGTAGAGATGAGTTAAATTTCCAGAAACCCTTGTTTCTTTTTAAGGAGACTTGAGGTTTCATTTCCAGAGTAATGAGAGAATGATCTGTCATTGGCGCCGAATCCATTGCCACATTTGATATGATGTGGCTTAAGTTGTTGTTAACTAGCCATAAATCAATTCTAGATTTTGCACCGCCATTGGGTTTGAACCAGGAAAACTGCTGTGTATCTCCATAAGTTTCTCTCCAGATATCACTTAGATTTAAATCATTGCAAATGGTTTGAATTTGTGTATTATAGTGATTTTTATCATATTTACTTGGCCAACGATCTAACCATTCATCAGGCACACAGTTAAAATCCCCTCCTATAATAATTGCTTCAGTTGGATAATCTCTTTTTTGTTCTAAAATAGTGTCAGCAACTTTAGAAAGCAGTTCCTTATTTTGGGAAGGGGAATTGTAACCATAGATATTTGCAATAATCATGAAAGTGCTGTCAATGTTCATAACTATGACAATCCAATGCCCATGTTCATCTTTTTTGATTGATGTTAGTGAGCCTGTACAGTTATTTAATAAAATGGCTACTCCAGCTGACTTTGAGGTACCATGACTATAGTATATTTTTTCCCCCCATTGATTGTTCCAAAAATGTTCATCCGTAGATGTGGAGTGTGTTTCCTGCAAGAAGGTAAAATGAGCTTTTTGATTTTTACAGAATAAGAAAATGGCTTTTCTCTTGACCCTATCTTGTAAACCTCTAGTGTTTAAGGAAGAAAATAAAAGATGACTTTTAAAGTCCAACATAAATTAAAAAAATAACAAAAATATAGAAATAACAATATTAGGTTGAGAAAATATTAGCTTAAGTAACACGCTAGTACCACTAAAAAAAACGGTAGCTTTTAACGGTTAGCAGAACAGCAAACTTCAAGTAACAAGAGTCATTTTTCGGATTTACCCAAGTGTAAAAAATAGTTCAGAGTATCATCTTCACTCAGCAGCCGTAACCCGTTTCCCTTCCAAATACGCGTAGGGACCTTTGAAGCCCGCCTTCTTCCCCTCCTTCCTCGCCTTGGCGATGATGGGCCACACAGCATCCCGAGCCAGCTTGTCCTCCTTTATCATGTCCTCCACGAAGTGTATTTTCAGCTCCTCACAGATCTTATGCTTGTTTGTCGCTCTCCATACGTGGTCCCGGTCAACTCGCTTGACAAACTGCATTATAACTTGACGTGGCTTGTTGTCAAATTTTCTCCCTAGCCGATGAACCGTATCCACAGCCTCTTCCATCTTTGGGGCAAGTTGTGGTGAAATGCGGCATAAGAGATTGATGACATCCTGCCTTACATTTTCACCTTCTCTTTCCCTCAGCCCGTTAATTCGGAGATTCCACCTGCGCTTGTATCTTTCAACACCTTTGACTCTCTCACGCAGCTCATTGTTTTCCCGGGTTAGCGCTGCCATTGCACTTTTCATCTCGGCCGTTTGTTTTTTGCACTCCTCTATCTCTGTCATATTGAAAGCAATGCTCTCACTGTGTTCTTTGATTATAGTAGTCATGTCATCAAGCTTCTTGTCTTGTTTGTCAAAACGCTCAATAAGAGACTGCAGAGAGGCTTGAATGGCCATCAGCAGGGAAGTGTTTGAAAGTTCTGGCTCAGTGTCCATCTCACCGGTTTTCACTTTCTTCGTCTCACTCTTATTCGGAGTTGTTGGCGGGCGTTTGGCGGTGCCTTCTTTTCCGGCTTTTTTCTGAGTATTACCATCCATCTTCCCAGTGAAAATAGTCAGCGTTAATTGATGGTGAAGCTGGCGGGTGTTCGTATTGGCAAACCCCGAAAATTAAAGATTATTTTAAAAAGTTTGTGTCAGCTAACCGCAGTGCGTCCACTCAGACCGCCATCTTCCTCCCGCCCCCACCAGGCTGCTGTCTGCTGCAGTGAGATGCCCTCCTCCTACGTCATCGCCGCCATTTTGGCCCCCCCTAGCGTTTCTATGCGGAAGTGAAAAAGTGCCACTTGAAAGCCGTTTTTTTAACATAATTCATCTGAACATGTCAAAATGAACACCCGAAATATTATAAACACATATTGTAGTTATATATTCTGGATAGCAGCATATTAAATTCTAGTACTACTTTAAGGCAGACTGAGCTGGACTTGGCACAACTCAAAAGTCAATTCATTTTATTGTATTTTTTGTTTAGCGCTAAATTATTAAAATCATATGTACCTGTAAATACATTGTAAACGGCTCAACTACTACTACTACGAATGGTTAGTGGTGATCGGAGGGAACTATGGCACATACTGGGTGCCTCGCTTCTGTCAGTGTGCCCCAGGGCAGCTGTGGCTACAGCAGTAGTTTATCACCACTGTGTATGGAGTGAAAGAATAATGACAAGGGGCTGATGACCAATGTCCATCAATGATCACAACTGTCCTGGATCAACTATAACTTATTCTTAATCTTCTTCCAGAACCTCCGCCCACCTACGAGGAGAGCTGCAGCGAGGCCGACCGCGCGCCCGTCAACAGCAGACAGTAGTCCCGCCCCCATAGCCCTCTGGACCAATCAGGACGCAGGCTGTCTGGGTGCAGGCCGCCTCTCCAAAGACTTTAGACTTTTGAATATTCTCGATTCGCCGACAGCAGGTGAACGACACTGTGCCTAAACCAAGAGAACGGGCTCAACTGGGAACTTTGCCTTCAGATGTTTTAACCACTGAGAAATTCATATTTTTGGGTTTTACATTGTATTTAGCCCCGTTTCCACCAGCCCTACTGGGCTCTACTCTACTCCACACCGGCCTGTTTAACCGGTACCAGGCCGAGGTGGCACTAAAGTGTTGTAACTGGCAGAGATTGACAGAGATGAAGACACGGTTACCAAGGAATTTCCACGGATACTGGTTTGTTGTGGGTCGGTTGCTATGATACAGTACCAGAGTAGAGTAGGGCTGGTGGAAACAGTGCTTTAGTCTGTTAGGTTTGTCTCATCAAATGGACCAATGTAAAACGGATCTATTTCTCGTAAGTAGTTTTTGATAAATAAATTATACCTATATAAATATATATAATAAAAATTGGAAAAATAAAGGTAGGTTATTATTCTTCAATTTTTTGCCTGACCTAGATTTTTCTCTCATTAAACCAAAGCACACTCCAGTAGATCCAGACATATCAATGTTTTGCAAAATAAATATAAAACTTAAAAATATACAAGAACATGTGTTATTTGATGTAGTGTCTGAAGTGGTTTTCACAATTAAATAATATACAGGATGGATATATAAATATGGGTAATTTGTAATCGTATGTATTCCGCCCTCTTGTGGACATCGTATGTACTTCAGCTGCATCAGGATTATCAACAGCCTCTTTTGAAAAATGGAACAATAAAAAGGTCTTACCTCAAATACAACAAAAACATTAAAAAGTGAATATTTTGTTTGCTTTCTTTTATTTAAATAAAAACAGTGGCCTTAAACTTAAGTTATGAAGTGTATCACATAGTTGAAATCATTGATATCTATTCTTTGATTGATTGAAAGACGAACGGCTGGAAAACTGAATCAGTCTAAACACAGCATGCTCCAAACTTGATTTCATTTTTTTTTACAGTTTTACCCCGTTCTGTTGCTCTCTTTTTGATTATTCTAGCTCAAAGAATATAAACTACTTCATACTGCATTGCTAAGAAGTGCATTGCAGTTGTTAAAGATCCACTTCTCTATTTTGACACTATAACAAGGCTCATTGCTATTCCCAATAACCGCTCGGCATTCAACCCGCCTTGCGACTTATACGTTTGAAATGTTCATTCTGCTCCCAGTGGATGATAAACTTGCCATAATCCGTTAAACTGTGATCTCCTATGACTTTAGAAAGCTTGTTTTCAACACGGGTCCAAACAACACGCCAACCTTTCCCATTGTTGTCCTGGGTCGACCAAAGACTGTATATTAGGAGTGGACTGACCGAGTGTGACATCACCATAGTGGTAGCCTTAATGCCGATTTTAACATGAGCTAGCCTTTCTTCCTCGACGTTAGCTTTGCACCGCATCAAGGGAAGGCATGTTGCTAACGTGGTTGCTAAGGTAAACTGGAGTATTTCTCCCACGAATGAAGGCATCTGATTGGTCAATACATATATGGCTCATGTCTGGATTTTCACACAATATAAATCAGGATCACAGAGAGCACTAAACCAAGGATTTGCCCAAAATAGTAAAAAGTTATTGTGCTAGAGTTTGTAAGTCAATATGAGCCAGAGCGACATGGTGCAAAACTTTGTCCATGAGCACTTCCCTATTTGGCTTCATTGCGCTACCGGGTTAGCATTGTCCATCTATATACAGTCTATGGTGTGACCAAACAACCTATCCTATACAATCTATAAATAGTAACAAGGGAAACATATAACTTTCTCTTTTCTCTTTTTTTACATGTAACAGGAGTGTCTATATCTTTTGAGAGGAAAATAAACATTCCCTGTGATTTTTTTTTTTTTTTTTATCGTTTCGAACTGTTTGTGCTCAAATGTAGCAATCTCAAGGACACGAGCCGTCGCTGGAATGTGTGGAGTTTATCACAAAGATTTTAGACTGTGTATAATCTGTGTTTTTATCGTCGTCTCGTTGCTGTTGTTTTACTTTCTCTGGTATGAGAGATTTATTCATTATTTACTTTCTTCTCTTCTGTTTATCGTCACATATTTCAGATCATATCACCTCAATGAGTCATGTACCAGTAGGCCTACAGTTAATTTGTACCATGGTGTGAAATAAAAACAGGTTTTTTAATTCAACTTTTTTGTGTTTTTGTTGGTCTTTTAACTATATTATAACCTACAGATAAGTTCATTTGCAAAAAAAAGAGATATCTGCGTTTAGAAAAATTGTCAAAATGTTGTATTCCTCTAGCTACAATCTCCAATCTGTTATCTGCAGTAAATTTGAAACAATTTGCTCAAGAATGGGTGAAACTGTATTTGTTTGCCACTGAAAAACATCTGGCTTTTCAGAAAACTGTAAGCCTGCAAATAAATATGATTAAATTTTTTTTTTTTATGTTTGTAAAATGGCCATAACCTCATGCAAAAGCCCGTCAGATCTTTGATGTTAAGCAGGCCAGGGCCTGGTTAGCACTGTGATGGGAGACCTCTGGGAACGCCATGGGTGCCACAGTGGGACGGCTGCAAAGAGCCAAACCATCGTTGTGTCCTTAGACAAGACACTTATAGGTTGCCCCCCTTCTGATTAAATTACCAGCCTTTGACATTTTCAGCAAAACAAAATAAAAAATAAATAAATAAATACTGGTTGCCCCCCTTCTGTCAGTGTGCCTCAGAGTAGCCCTGGCCACAGTGGTCATTTGTCACCACCTCTGAGTATGGAATGAAAGGATAATGCCATGAGAAGCATCTTTGAGTGTCCTAAAAAGTGCTCTATATGCTATATATTTTTCTGTCCGTGGAGGAGAGATAGTAATGTCTTGTGCAGAGAACGAGTAGTGGAGGTCGTTTTAGTTCATAATTGTCCTGTTGAATGGGTAAGTGAGGGTCTATACAACGTCCCTTTTGTGTAGGGTGTATTTCCTCATTCATTCATTTGTCTACACTTGAAACTTGCTCATAGGCCAAACTATAGTTGGTTTTAGCGTAACTCTAGTTTACGTCATTACTGTCAATAGTATTATAGTAAATAGTATATTCAAGACCTACTTCAAGACTCCCACTGATGACTGCTGTCAATGTGTCCTTGGGCAAGACACTTAACCCCACTTTGCCTGAAGCCCCCGCTGAAAGATCAAGGCTCCTGTGGACTCACCACCTGCAGGAGGATCAGTGAGGGGCTGGTGCTCTGTGTACTGGGTGCAGCTCTGACTGCCACCCCCGACTCAGAAATGGATTAAGGGGAAGAAAATGAAACAATGAATGGAGTTTTATGCTATGCTGGAAGTATGCTATTATAGATAGATAGATGGATAGGTAGATGTGTCCAGCAGCAGAAACCATAAACTGTAAAGAAACACATCCATCTGTCATGGTGTGGATTTTATTTTTGTATTTTTGTTTTATTTTGAAATTGGTTTTCTGTGGTTTGGTTTTAGTTTTGCTTCCTGTCTTGTTCCCCAGTCTTGTTCCCCAGTCTTGATTGTCTGCCCCGCCCTGATGTGTTTTACCTGTGTCTCTGTGTATACATAGTTCCCACATGACGTCACTACATACGGGGATTTGCCGACCCGGCGCCATTTGTGTTGGCATTCTGTGGGCAAAACAATAGAAAAAGAAGCTGAAACGTGTTAATGTGGTGATAAAGTTGAAAATGGTCATCTCCTGCTGGGTCAATGGATGTTCAAATCGTGCCGGAGGTTCCGTTAAACTTGGATTTTACAGTATACCCATCATTAGACTTCATGAATGTGAGAAGACTAAGCTTTTGTCAGAACAACGACGGAGGTTATGGCTTGCGAAGATAAACAGGCAAGAAACTCCCTCAAAACACGCAGGAATATGCTCGGAGCACTTTGTGTCAGGTGCGTATCGTATCTTATAATGTGTTGACAGACGTAATTTACTCAGTACTAACTTGTGTATGCTGATATCTGGTAACTTGCAAGTTTCATTATTTAGCGTTAGATTACTTTATTATGAGGAGGATCGGTGTCGCGTCCGAGGCTCTCGAGGGCAACGTAAATGTATTAAATAGATAATAATAGTTCTATGGTGGGCTAAAACAATGTTCACAAACAGCATTGCTTCTGTAAAAAGATCTGTGTCATAAAATAAACTGCTCTTTACGCCTGGAAAAATCAGTTGCCCACCAGTCACCAAAACGTACGGTCAAAAACGCGGAAATAAACAATAACAGCAATCCAGAGTGTCCGTGTGGCATTAGCATTAATTAAATTAATTGTTAATATAATTAAAATAATTAAATGGAGCTCCAACTGGTATTAAATCTAAAGTTTTTGAGAAATGTTTGCATTGCTTGTTAATTTTTGCTGCATAATTTGATCAAATATGTAAAACATGTCCGTAGCACGTTAAACTGTGGTGCCATTGTATTAATATACAATTATTTGCTCAAAAGTTGCCCTTTTTTTCCAATTTGCGTTTGAATATCTACATTTATTCTCATTCTTCTGTTTAATGGAATGCACAAACACAGCAGCGTGCCATCAAAGATGGCGTCTCCGAGGAGGTCATGTGACATTCATTGGTCTGTGGGAACTATGTATATGTACCCTGTGCTTCTCTTTCCCTTTGTTGCTAGTCCATTGTATTGTCAACGTCTTGTCCTTGTCTGTTCCTGTTTCCTTGATTCTTTTTGAGCCTTTGGATTTTGAGTTTTACCTGGACTTTCATTTTATTTTAATTAAATAATATTTTTTTGGCATTCCTGCATTTTGGGTACCACGTGACACCATCCATACAAAAAAAATTACATAATTCTAAAAGTTACTATTTTCTTCCTTAAGATATTATTTCACTAAAAAGGAAAAGGCAACATCAAAAGCCTTATATAAGTTAAAAGTAATGCATAACATTCTCTCCTTAGATTCGCTTTTAAACATCAGCTTTTTCCGTGTGACACTTAAAGACTACACTTCCCAGCAGCCCCTCCGCTTTGTTTGTAGCCTCCATGCTAGCGTCACGCGTTAGCCGCTTCAGTGGAGCAGCAGCTGGGACCAGGACCAGGCGGTGACACGCTCTGCTCTGCACTTGCTTCTCTGGGGGAAAACATGGCTCCAGCTTGAATCTCTCCCAACAACAAGGAGAAGAAACAAAGAAAGAAACATATTGTAGTTTTTACGTGATATTTTTTTGTTTTTTTTTGTCAATGGACAGAGCTTTGGTGTAGCTGCGAGCGACTCCCCCAGCCTCCACCAAGATGTCTGTAAGTCTATCACGGAACTTTTGAAAAATATATCCATTATCGAAATAGACTGTTATTATTTTATTTTTGGAGTAATTATTTTTAAGCAACAGTTTAGGATTTTGCTAACTTGGCATTTCTTACGATCCTGTCACCTGATTTGAAGCCACCCCAACCACGTAACTCGAAATGCACTACCATAGAACTGTGTACAGTCTGTACTATATCTATTGCAAGGCGAGTTACTTGTATTGCACAGTATTTACACAAAGGTCTTAATAAACAAGATAGGGACAATAATCATCAAAATCATAATCACATTGAGGGTGAATATACAAAGCTGGTCTGAAGACATGACCAAGGCCAAAATGACATGCATGTGAAAACAAGGAATAACTATTGATTTATTTTTATTACAGAATAGATCCACTTTGTATAGTTTGAAAATTTCCAACCCCAGAGTCTCACTTGGTTCATATGGCACCAACATGTCACAGATTTTTTAGGTCTATATGTCTAAAAACCCCGGTCTATCAGGTCAAACTAATCTGTCTCACTACGGTCCTTGGTGAATTCTGCTTCACAATGATCGGAAGAGCCGACATGGAAGGATCAACATACATGTGTTTGATCCTCGGATGTGTGTGTGTGTGTTGTATGCACAGCTAAACAGAACAGTTTTAACCTGGATTTGAACATTGTCAGAGTAGAAGCCTGTCTCACATTTTCAGGCATTTTAGCAGCATGAATCTGAAACGCTGCCTCCCCATGTTTAGTCCTGACTCTGGGCACCAGCAGGAGGCCAGTCCCTGTGCTCCTCAGAGTCCCAGTTGGTTTAGATGGCACTAACATGTCATAGATGAACTTTGGTCTTTTATGTTTAAAAACCCACAGCTCACATTGGTCTATCATTATTTTCAGAAGTAATACCAAAGTTTGTGAAATAGCCATTAGATAAAGCCCTCCTTTAGAAAGTTAAACATTTTCTAAAAGCTGGGATTGAAAACTTTCAAACTATACAAAGTGAAACTGTAATACAAAGCAGTCAATAGTTATCACTGGTTTTCACATGCATGATGTCATTTTGGCCTTGGTCATGTCTTTAGACCAGCTTTTCAGACAGAAAAGTGTAGAAAAGAAGACCACCCTCACTCAACCAATCAGCTCTCAGCCCAACGAGTCAACTAGTGACTCACTTGGCTCTTTCATGCAATAGATAACCAGTTTTGTAATAAAAATGTTACTTATGTGTGTGCGTGCCTACAAGTGAGTAGCTGCTAAGACTAATAAATCACCTGAAAATTGTATATTTGCAATGTGTATTTTATTTTAAAGCTAATAATTTGTCTTCACGCTTCCCCTGACTGTATATAACAGAAAGCCCTTGTGCTCCGTCGCTCCCTTTATCTCCGGGGTCACAATGGTCTCCTTCTGTCTGTATTTGAGGCCTAATATCTTATGTGTACTATTCCAAAGAAGATAAGAAAGCAGTGTTATTCGATACAGATATGTGAGATCGTTTGCCCTACTTCAGTGTGCGCTTGCTCAGTGGTAATGATCATTAAAACAAAAGTAATATGAGTCTAGAGTCGCACCTGTCACACATCACACAGAACCAGTTTGTTCTCGCCATTTTTGTGGGTTGTGAGAGCTAGCTTACAGGGCGTGTGGCTGGTTTTCTCATGTAAGTATATGGTTATTACAAAGTACTTCAAAATATAGGTTTTTGCAGGTCTAGCAGTGACTCTAAAGACGTGTGTGTGTGCGTGTGCGTGTGCGCGAGAGATAAGCCAGTAATGGGTCCCTTGAGGTTTGTGTCTCTGTTGACTCAGCTCTCCAAACTTAACTTAGTTTCCACGGTTATATTTTTGTTTGTCGAGTTAGTCAGTGGGTGACAAGCACCAGTAATGAGGCAAAACCATGTGGCGTGAATATTGACAATCGTAGCCGTTCTCCATCACGGTTTGTAAAAGTGTTGTAATTTTGAAGGCTATAGGGGCGGATGGCACCACTGTGGGGCTACAGGAATAACCCAACCTACTTTATTTGTATTGCACTTTTCACAAACACAGTTACCAGAAGTGCTTGCCCAATTAAAGACTAATTAAAACAAACCGTTAGCAAAACAATAAAATCCTAAAAAATCAAATAGGATAAAAACCAGTACAACTAAACTGAGTCAAATCAATGTTTCAAAAAGTATGAACAAAATCACAATTTCGTTATTCTAAATTTGAGATTTAATGATAATAATGCATCTGTTTTGCATACCATTGTTTTGGATCCACTCCATACACGGTGGTGGTAAACTATTGTCGTAGCCACAGCTGCCCTGCATCGTCTCTTGTCTTTGATCTGGTTTTGTTCTGCACTTTGAGTTGCTTTGTGTAGGAACTGTGCTGAACAAACCTGGCCCTGGGGCTCCTGTGGCAGAGGCCTGAGGGCAGAAGAAAAGCAAGAAGTAGTGAACTAAAAAGGCGTCATGGTGTTCATGGTTTTTAACTAGTTTGCATTTGAGAATTTCCACTCTATAATCATTTGCGTGAATTGTATGCAAATTAAATTATGCAACCGGTTTGGTGACGGAAACACCTGGAACATACGGTGAACTTAAAGGGGAAAACACGCACACACACAAGTTTACCATATTAGTCGTCTATTTATACAACTAATATGTACAGAATACAGTGATATGTGTGTTTGCCTGCGGGGGTGGGCCACACTCTAGCCACTGTATCATAATAGCAAGGCAAGACAAAACAATAGAGAGACTATGTATTTATTCAGCCACCAATTGTCCTCCTACTTTCAAAACTTCACTGCTCTAGACTGATCTGCATGGAGGAATGGGCCAAAATACCAGCAGCAGTGTTTGACAACCTTGTGAGAATGTTTCTTTCTCTATGTCATTGCCAACAAAGTGTATATAGTGTGAGCAGCCTTAAGTATCGAGGTGGACTTGTGTTATTAAGGCCATAGGAGGATTATCTACTTCCGGGTGGATCATCAAGACTATTGGTCCTCCCAGATGTCAATCATTCTGGTGATACGAGCTCGTCCAATAAGACCAGAGAGTTTAGTTCAAAACGTGGAGAGGGCAGTTCTTTCCTAAAATGTTTGATAATCCTATATATTCTTAACTAAACACCTATTTTTCACCATACATCCTTTTTCTTCCGCTTTATCCGTTGCCGGGTCACAGAGGCAGCAGTCGAAGCAGAGACGTCCAGACTTCTTCTTATATCAGAGGTTTCTTTTAATATTATTTTAAATCATTTTTTTTCTCAAGCTGAGGTTTTCTTTTGATTTATTGTTAAGTGAGTAAATACTTTCTTGCCCCATTGGATATTTTAACCAGTATTATATCATATTTTTGTTTTGCCCTGGAGTGGCCCAGTGTGAAATGTTAATATTCATCACATTTTTGAACTGAATGGGCAGCCTGTGTCCACAAATGAGCTCGGTCCTCAGTGGTGGCCTCTGAGATAACCAGACCACACATTCCGGCCATTTTTCTACCTGCACAAATGAAACGCACTGGGGTTATGGGGCATTGACTGCAGAAAAGAAAGTCTGGGCCAGTAAAATTCACACTACTAAGATTTAAATCTGTCTTTTTACCGCGAGATAATGCATTTGACACACAAACATATGAATACTTTTAAAATGCTCAGACAGTAAAAAGTTTCCTCATTCTCCCAGGTTTAAGTCAGTGAGTTATCTTTATTCATAGGTGGGATTTCGAAGTTTCTAAAGTAGACGACAAGTAAACAATGTTAAAAAATGTTACAAACTCTAAATGAGTGCATCTAGACCAGGCGTGTCCAATCCAAGGCCCGCGGACCAAATGCGGCCCACTGTTTCATTTCATGTGGTCCTCTGCTTTGCTAATATACAAACTAACCATTGTTGAGGCACTTTCACCAAGTCATCCAGCCAACTTCAACTCCACCAATATAAAGCTGAAGTTGTACATTAAAAAGAAAGAGAAAAAAGTATGTATATAATCCCTCAGTTGTCTGCACAGCTAAACAGAACTGTTTTTAACCTGGGTTTAAACATTGTCAGAGAAAAGGCCTGTCTCGCATTTTCAGGAAGATTGTTTTAGATTTTAGCAGCGTGAATCTGAAACGCTGCCTCCCCATGTTTAGTTCTGACTCTAGGCACCAGCAGGAGGCCAGTCCCTGTGCTCCTCAGAGTCAGAGTTGGTTCATATGGAACTAACATGTCACCAATGTACTTTGGAGCCACAGGAGCCAGTGCAGAGACCTGAGACCAGTACTAATGTGATGGTACTTCCTGGTTCTAGTCATTTATAGTAATGTAGCTCAGAGCCAGACCTAAACAAGCTTTAAAACCGGACGGAGAAACATAAACTTATTCCTCCCACTGTGTATATAATTTACTATTGTTGGGGTCTGTGAAAGTTGAAAGATTTCTTGTAATCCACATTATTTCTTCTTCTGTGTCTCTGAGGCTTTACTATGTATTTGTTTTTTGACAGATGACTTTTGAAGCCTCCAGCAGCGTGACTTTGCTGTTTGACTTCTGGTCTGTGCATGGAGTCGGAGGTAAGATCTGAAAATAGTCGTCATCGCCTCAAAATCAAACCCCAGAGAGCATTTTAAAAACTGTGTCTGATTCTATTTTAGGGTGTGGGTGTCTCTTTAAAGTGCTTCCTTTGGCCTAAAATGCCAAGCGCTAACATGGGCTTTCTGGTCAATAATGTCCCATATAGTCCTGTGGCTTAAAATGGGTTTGATTCCACCTCCAGGCCTTTCTGCGCGGAGTTTGCATGTTCTCCCCATGTCTGCGTAGGTTTCCTCTGGGTGCTCCGGTTTCCCCTACCACCAAAAAACATAGGTTGACCAGAGGCTTTGTCGGTGGGGAGGGTAGAAGGTAGATTTCAATATCGCATGACATTTCAGTCTTTGTAACACGTTTGGACTAATAACTAATAACTAATAACAAAGAAAACACTTCCAGCTGGATTTTGCTTTAGGAGAGGCAATATTAAATCAAGTAAATTAGGATGCTCCTTTCACAGATATTTCTCCTGCCAAATGTTTACTTTAGTTTTCCATATTGTAAGTATGTTTTTTCTGAACATGTTGGTTCACCGTTGGGTCAGGGAACTAAATACAAACACAGAGGTATTCACAAAAATATCGGATCGCCATGCTGACACAGAAGCATGGAGACAGACGACATACATCATCCAACTGGACGAGCCAATGCACGATGAACTGTGTATCCAAAAAAGGAAATTACGGAGAACATTTCTTAAACTCCTCCCGGTCGACCAAAGCTATGTCAGCAGCATTTGTAAATATTTGTGAGAGTCTCGGATTGAACATGTGCCGCTTCAATTTGAACTCCTGTCCATCTTATATGTACATAAAGACCTGTGTGTGTCTATTGGTGTGTGTCTATTGGTGTGTGTCTGTCACTGTGTGTCTGTGACGCTGTGTGTCTGTGTCGTTGTTTGTGTCTGTGTGTCTATCTGTGTCTGTGTGTGTTTGTGTCTGTCTTGCTGTGTGTCTGTGTGTGTGTCTCTGTCTGTGTCGCTGTGTGTCTGTGTCGCTGTGTCGCTGTGTGTGTCTCTGTATCTCTGTGTCTATCTGTGTGTGTGTGTGTTTGTATTTATGCGTTTGTGTGTCTGTGTGTGTGCTGCAGGGATGCTGCTGTCTGTGCTGGTGGTCTTCCTGTTGACGCTGGTTTTCGAGCTGCTCAAAGTCTTCAGGATCCGCCTGAGTCAGCGCTTTGAGAGGAGCCCCGCGGCGCCCCCTGCTGGAGAGCACAATGCGGGCGTCCTGGAGGGTTGCAGCTCCGAGTCGTCCCTGACCCCCATCGCCTCCACGCAGCCCCCCGCTGAGCTCAGCTTCAGACACAGGTCAGGGCCGTGCGCTCACGCTCAGTGTTGGTAATGTCAACAGAGCGGGCCTTCGAACCGAGCCACAAACATTTGCCTTTCATTTGCATCCTCTGTTCTGAGTTATTCTTTGCGTTGATATAATCCAATCCAATCCACTTCATCTATATATCTGTTTTAAACAACTGTCACGTTTCCAAAGTCCTGCACAAACAAGTATAAAGTATAAAAATAAAAATAAATGTATCCCTAGCTCCACCAAGTGTAAAACAATAAAAAGATATAAAACAGATTAAAACCATAAATACCATCCATCCATTTTCTTCCCCTTAATCCATCTCTGGGTCGGGGGGGTGGCAGTCAGAGCTGCACCCAGTACACAGAGCACCAGCCCCTCACTGATCCTCCTGCAGGTTGTGAGTCCACAGGAGCCTTGATCTTTCAGTGGGGGCTTCAGGCAAAATGGGGTTAAGTGTCTTGCCCAAGGACACAACGACAGCAGTCATCAGTTGTGAAGTAGGTCTCGTGGTGGGCTCGAACCCACAACCTTCAGGCTCACAGGCAAATGCTCTACCATCTGAGCCACTGTCGCAACCATAAATACCATAGATAGAAAAACACAGAGGACCACACGACTCATGCAGTGTTAAAAGCCAAAGAATAATAAAAAAAGACCCAGAAACACTCCCCTGGGGGCAGTGCGAACATGGAGGGGAAGATTTATAGAAATGTATGATCTAGTCCTGCGTGTTATTAGTGTAGGAGGGACAAATACAGAGACTAAAGCTCATCCATAGTTATAGATTTTGCGTTTGGCTTTCACCCCTTAGGGACGATACCTGAGCGTGTCGAGATAAACCGACTGTATATAGATAAACGATGCATACCAGCAAGGTCCATGAAGCCCAATAGGGAAGTGCTCATGGATGAAGTTTGGCTCCAACTCGCTCTGGCTCCCATTGACTTGCATTGAAAAGTGAACTCCTCTAGCTCAGTAACTGTTATTATTATACGTATTTTGGGCTTAAAACATCTCCATGACCCTGATTTTTGGTATCGTCTTTGGTCAATGCTTATATCTGGATTTACAGACAGATCGCTGGGGAAACTCCATGTCTTAGCAACCATCTCAACGTCTATTTACATCTCCTGCGTGACTCTGGGGGTTTTTTCTCAGTGGGAATGACGACTGGTTAAAGAAATACTTTGGATTTAATTGAATAAAACCCCATTTCTGTCAGATCTCAGTTTCCCCTCAAAGCTCTGCTGCTGCCTCTGAAAAAGTATAAAATAAGTCCTTTTTGAAGTCCTGAACTGGATGGTTTAACTGTGGATTACCAGTAACTCTTAAGGTCCTATATCACGCTTTTCTTCATGTTTCACACTCAATCCTATGCACATGTGTGATATTAATGTGTATAATACACCACACAACAATCAAAGCTTGTGAGATTAGAGCCATCTCTTGTATAGAGGTGACGTCACCTCGACTCAAACGAGCTGATCCAGAGAAGAGTCTGCTCCTCTGTCTGTGAGCCCGCCCCCCCCCCCCCCCCCCCCCCGCACGGTGACGTAGCATCACGCTTTTGTCGTTTATCACTGGTACATAGTCATTTCATACATAAGAATAAACTTTTTCCAATGACAATCAGTCACATCGAGCCCTATGTCCTCGATGCACAATCAGACCCTAGTTATTTAGTTTACAGAAGTATACAGCGAGTTAGCGTCACTACTTGCAGATCGAGGGGGTCCGAGTTACGTCTTTTACCGTGGGAATAACGTGTTTCCAGATCAGCTTTTGAGTAAGTCCAGTTCCATTGTCCCTGTAGTTCTGGAACAGTCTCAGTGAAGTGTCGCAGATGAACCGGTATTATAATAGATCCATGAGATGAGCAGATGAAAAAAGTCGAGCCGCTTTCTTCCTCTTAGGGCCAAATAGTGTGTCACATATTTACACCCATAACACACTTCATTCAAGTTGACGTGATCCTAACACTTTTAGTCGCTGACAAAAGCATAAAAACAGCAGCTCTATGTGGTGTCCGGGGACCAAGCCACAGACGCTGGACTCGGGAGCCGGAGCCTGTGCGCTCTGATTTGCTGTTTTGATCCGTCAATCACCTCCCGCCGGCTTTTAATTAGGCCCGAGCCCCGAACGGGGTAAGGGCCTATTGCTTTCACAATGGTGAAAACAAATGGTGGCGGGGCGTGACGGACGCGTCAGCGCCCGTCACTCACCAAAACGTGACGGTTGCGTGCGTAAACTCAAACGCTTTAAAATGATGTATCACGTGCCATTGAAACCTATATTGTTTTTGCTCGAGACGTTAAAAAAAAAATTCCTTTTTAGGCCCGAGCCCCGAACGGGGTAAGGGCCTATTGCTTTCACAATGGTGAAAACAAATGGTGGCGGTGCGTGACGGACGCGTCAGCGCCCGTCACTCACCAAAATGTGACAGTTGCGTGCGTAAACTCAAAAGCTTTAAAATGATGTATCACATGCCATTGAAACCTATATTGTTTTTGCTCGAGACGTTAAAAAAAAAATTCCTTTTTTATTAGGCCCGAGCCCCGAACGGGGTAAGGGCCTATTGCTTTCACAATGGTGAAAACAAATGGTGGCGGTGCGTGACGGACGCGTCAGCGCCCGTCACTCACCAAAACGTAACGGTTGCGTGCGTAAACTCAAAAGCTTTAAAATGATGTATCACGTGCCATTGAAACCTATATTGTTTTTGCTCGAGACGTCAAAAAAAAAATTCCTTTTTTATTTCTTTCTTTCTTTCTTTCTTTCTTTTTTCTTCTGCACTTTGAGCCTTAATTTGACCCCCTGAACATGCATGAAAAGTTGTTAAATTTTGCCCAAAAATCAGACCTGGCGAAAAATTTGATATTTTGGTGTTTATTTTAATGGGACTCAAAAAATGCCGGAACAGCGCCACCTACAACAGCCAAAATAATACCCCTATGGGACTTTTAGAGATCAAGTTTGTCGTAGAGCCATGAAATTCGGTACACATGTTACTCAAGTCAAGACAAGAAAAAAATATTATTATGGCCCCGCCCCCTGACAAACAGGAAGCCCATAAATTTCACTGCAAAATGGAAAAATGAACAGCAAAAGTTTTCGTACATGTCGGTTGGAAAGCGACTCCTCCTCGGCCGTTTCACCGATTCGCCTCAAAATCGCTCCACATCATCTCAACACATGTACCTTCAAAATGACCTCAGGGATTTTTGATCAGTGAAACATTGTGTGAGCAGCGGAGCGGCAAAATGTGACCTTTTTTTGGCCGTTTTTGACAACATTAAATTTGCTCCCGTTTGCACAAACAAAGTCTGATTTGCACAAAACTTTAATACATTGTTCAACTCTAGGGTCTAAGTCATTTGAAAGTGAATTGATTCAAATTGACACATTAGCGCCCCCTACAGACCATTTCAAAATTTTAGATGGGCATTTTCAAATTTAGTTTTTTCAAAATGTTTGACATTTTGCACATAAATCTGTTTTGCCCTCTTGATTCAAAAAGTCAATAGGGTCCAAGGCTAATCTTTTACCCTGTTGCCATGGCGACGACAAACGCTCCCCTTTCATTGCAAATGTACACCTCACACAAACATCAAACCAGCCTCGGCCGTTTCACCGATTCGCCTCAAAATCGCTCCACATCATCTCAACACATGTACCTTCAAAATTACTTCAGGGAATTTTGATCCGTGAAACGTTGTTTGAGCAGCGGAGCAGCAAAATGTGAGGGTTTTTTTTGGCTCTTTTTGACAACATTAATTTTGCTCCTGTTTGCACAAACAAAGTCTGATTTGCACAAAACTTTAATCCATTGTTCAATTCCAGGGTTTAGGTCAGGTGAAAGTGAAATATTTTAAATTGGCCCATTAGCGCCCCCTACAGACTGAAGCAAAGTTTACATGGGGAGCCAAACCAGCTCTACTTATCATATTCATTACAATTTCACTAACATTCTTCTATGGCTACGGAAACAAATCATCACACGGCGGTGCCACCTCCTTTTAGCGGTGCTGCGTGGTACGGTGTGGTGCGACGTAGTGCGGGGTGATGTGGAGCGGCGCGTTGCGGCTTGGTGCGGGGCGGCGTGGTGCAGGACGGCATGGTGCAGGGCGGCTTGGTGCGGGGCGGCGTGGTGCGGGGAGTGCGCGCGGTGCAGGGAGTTGCGCGGTGCGGCGAGGGCCGTTCGACGCCGCTTGCGGCTTTAATTTATTTCTTTCTTTCTTTTTTCTTCTGCACTTTGAGCCTTAATTTGACCCCCTGAACATGCATGAAAAGTTGTTAATTTTGGCCCAAAAATCAGACCTGGCGAAAAATTTGATATTTTGGTGTTTATTTTTATGGGACTCAAAAAATGCCAGAACAGCGCCACCTACAACAGCCAAAATAATACCCCTATGGGACTTTTTGGAGGTCAAGTTTGTCGTAGAAACATGAGATTTGGTACACATGTTCCTTGAGTCAAGACATGAAAAAAATATTATTATGGCTCCGCCCTCTGACAAACAGGAAGCCCATAAATTTCACTGCAAAATGGAAAAATGAACAGCAAAAGTTTTCATACATGTCGGTTGGAAAGCGACTCCTCCTCGGCCGTTTCACCGATTCGCCTCAAATTCGCTCCACATCATCTCAACACATGTACCTTCAAAATGACCTCAGGGATTTTTGATCAGTGAAACATTGTTTGAGCAGCGGAGCGGCAAAATGTGACCTTTTTTTGGCCGTTTTTGACAACATTAAATTTGCTCCCGTTTGCACAAACAAAGTCTGATTTGCACAAAACTTTAATACATTGTTCAACTTTAGGGTCTAGGTCATTTGAAAGTTAAATGATTCACATTGACACATTAGCGCCCCCTACAGACTATTTCAAAGTTTTAGATGGGCATTTTCAAATTTAGTTTTTTCAAAATGTTTGAAATTTTGCACATAAATCTGTTTTGCACTCTTGATTCAAAAAGTCAATAGGGTCCAAGGCTTATTTTTTACCCTGTTGCCGTGGCGACGACAAACGCTCCAGATTCATTGCAAATGTACACCTCACACAAACATCAAACTAGCCTCGGCCGTTTCACCTATTCGCCTCAAAATCGCTCCACATCATCTCAACACATGTACCGTCAAAATGACCTCAGGGATTTATGATCAGTGAAACGTTGTTTGAGCAGCGGAGCGGCAAATAGTGGCGTATTTTTTTTCAGTTTTTGACAATAGAAAAATGGCTTCCGTTTGGACAAACAAAGTCTGATTTGCACAAAACTTAAATCCATGGTTCAACTCTTGGGTCTAGGTCATTTGAAAGTTAAAATTTTGAAATTGGCTCTATAGCGCCACCTACAACAGCCGATTTAAAAATGCCTATGGGAGGGGTTCGAGGTCAAAATTGTCATAAAACCATGTAATTTGGAACACATGTTCCTCAAGTCAAGACATTGAATTTTTTTTATTGTGGCTAATTCCTCAGACAAACAGAAAGCCCATAAATTTCACTGCAAAATGGAAAAATGAAAAATAATCATTTTCATACATGTCGGTTGGAAAGCGACTCCTCCTCGGCCGTTTCACCGATTGGCCTCAAAATTGTTCCAAATCATCTCAACACATTTACCTTCAAAATGACTTCAGGTAATTTTGATCAGTGAAACGTTGTTTGAGCAGCGGAGCGGCAAGATGTGAGGGTTTTTTTGGCCGTTTTTGACGACATTAATTTTTTTCCCGTTTGCACAAACAAAGTCTGATTTGCATTAAACTTGAATCCATTGTTCAACTCCAGGGTTTAGGTCAGGTGAAAGTGAAATATTTGAAATTGGCCCATTAGCGCCCCCTACAGACTGAGGCAAAGTTTACATGGGGAGCCAAACCAGCTCTACTTATCATATTCATTCAAATTTGACTAACAATCTTCTATGACTACGGGAACAAATCATCACACGGCGGCGCCACCTCCTTTGAGCGGTGCTGCGTGGTACGGTGTGGTGCGGCGTAGTGCGGGGCGTTGTGGAGCGGCGCGTTGCGGCTTGGTACGGGACGGCGTGGTGCGGGACGGCGTGGTGCGGGACGGCGTGGTGCGGGACGGCGTGGTGCGGGACGGCGTGGTGCAGGGCGGCGTGGTGCGGGGAGTGCGCGCGGTGCAGGGAGTCGCGCGGTGCGGCGAGGGCCGTTCGACGCCGCTTGCGGCTTTAATTTATTTCTTTCTTTCTTTTTTCTTCTGCACTTTGAGCCTTAATTTGACCCCCTGAACATGCATGAAAAGTTGTTAATTTTGGCCCAAAAATCAGACCTGGTGAAAAATTTGATATTTTGGTGTTTATTTTTATGGGACTCAAAAAATGCCAGAACAGCGCCACCTACAACAGCCAAAATAATACCCCTATGGGACTTTTTGGAGGTCAAGTTTGTCGTAGAAACATGAAATTTGGTACACATGTTCCTCAAGACAAGACATGAAAATAATATTATTATGGCCCCGCCCTCTGACAAACAGGAAGCCCATAAATTTCACTGCAAAATGGAAAAATGAACAGCAAAAGTTTTCATACATGTCGGTTGGAAAGCGACTCCTCCTTGGCCGTTTCACCGATTCGCCTCAAAATCGCTCCATATCATCTCAACACATGTACCTTCAAAATGACCTCAGGGATTTTTGATCAGTGAAACATTGTTTGAGCAGCGGAGCGGCAAAATGTGACCTTTTTTTGGCCGTTTTTGACAACATTAAATTTGCTCCCGTTTGCACAAACAAAGTCTGATTTGCACAAAACTTTAATACATTGTTCAACTCTAGGGTCTAGGTCATTTGAAAGTGAATTGATTCAAATTGACACATTAGCGCCCCCTACAGACTATTTCAAAGTTTTAGATGGGCATTTTCAAATTTAGTTTTTTCAAAATGTTTGAAATTTTGTGCATAAATCTTTTTTGCCCTCTTGATTCAAAAAGTCAATAGGGTCCAAGGCTTATTTTTTACCCTGTTGCCGTGGCGACGACAAACGCTCCCCATTCATTGCAAATGTACACCTCACACAAACATCAAACCAGCCTCGGCCGTTTCATCGATTCGCCTCAAAATCGCTCCACATCATCTCAACACATGTACCATCAAAATGACTTCAGGGAATTTTGATCAGTGAAACGTTGTTCGAGCAGTGGAGCGCCAAAAAGTGGCGTGTTTTTTTTCAGTTTTTGACAATAGAAAAATTGCTTCCGTTTGCACAAACAAAGTCTGATTTGCACAAAACTTGAATCCATGGTTTAACTCTTGGGTCTAGGTCATTTGATAGTTAACATTTTGAAATTGGCTCTATAGCGCCACCTACAACAGCCAATTTAGAAATGCCTATGGGAGGGGTTCAAGGTCAAAATTGTTGTAGAACCATGTAATTTGGAACACCTGTTCCTCAAGTCAAGACATGGAAAAAATATTATTAAGGCTAAGCCCTCTGACAAACAGGGAGCCCATAAATTTCATTGCAAAATGGAAAAATGAAAACCAATCATTTTCATACACGTCGGTTGGAAAGCGACTCCTCCTCGGCCGTTTCACCGATTGGCCTCAGAATTTTTACAAATTATCTCAACACATGTACCTTCAAAATGACTTCAGGGAATTTTAATCAGTGAAACGTTGTTTGAGCAGCGGAGCGGCAAAATGTGAGGTATTTTTTAGCAGTTTTTGCTAACATTAATTTTTTTCCCGTTTGCACAAACAAAGTCTGATTTGCATTAAACTTGAACCCATTGTTCAACTCCAAGGTTTAGGTCAGGTGAAATATTTGAAATTGGCCCATTAGCGCCCCCTACAGACTCTGTCAAAGTTTACATGGGGAGCCAAACCAGCTCTACTTATCATATTCATTACAATTTGACTAACATGCTTCTATGGCTACGGGAACAAATCATCACACGGCGGTGCCACCTCCTTTGAGCAGTGCTGTGTGGTACGGTGTGGTGCGGCGTAGTGCGGGGCGTTGTGGAGCGGCGCGTTGCGGCTTGGTGCGGGGCGGCGTGGTTGCGGCTTGGTGCGGGGCGGCGTGGTGCGGGACGGCATGGTGCGGGGTGGCTTGGTGCGGGGCGGCTTGGACCGGGTGGTGCGCGCGGGGCGGGGAGTCGCGCGGTGCGGCGAGGGCCGTTTGACGCCGCTTGCGGCTTTAATTTATTTTTATTTTTATTATTTTTGACAAAAAACAGCATACTAATTGTGTATTGTTTACCCCGTTTTGACAAAAGTATTTAACAACTATTTTAAATACAAAGCAAACGGGGTCATGCGCGTCATGCGCGTCATCAGTGTGGTTTTCGTCACTGAAGTGGACCCGAGCGTTTCTGTGCCTCACGCTGGGGAAGGAGACAGATTGCTCTCTTACTAAAGATTGACAGAATCAATGAATAAACTACTGTGGGCTTGTGTATGAAGACCAAATAGCACTGTAATCATGTTTAAAGCAGAGAAAAGTCAAAAACCGTGAAATGGGCCCTTTAAGGTCCTCAGGCAAATGCAGGCGGTACAGTGTGTCTGCGGTGTTTTCATTTGACTGCCTAAGCCTCTGAGTGCTACTTTGCATTGTTGTAGATTTTTTTGTTACGACTTAAACCTCGTCCATCGCTTTCGCCGTCACAGATCCACAGAAGAACCCGTTCGTGGTTTGGTTTTCTTTTTTGAGTGTTACAACACACTTACTACACTTTCTGGAGCGTTCTCTGAGGACAAGAAGGCCCTGGGTTAGACAGTTAGATTCCCTGTGGTGTTTGCATGTTCTTCTGGTGCTACCACTATTAATCCACATGATAGATACGAAGCTAATGAGTGAGAATACTTTGGTCAGTCTGCCCCAGAGTGAGATAAGAAGCATCTGAAATCCAGCCATTTTGTGTCTCCAGCCCACTCACTTTATATGGATAGAATATGATAACTCCCTAGCTCAATGAAGCCCAATAGGGAAGTACTCATGGGTGAAGTTTTGCTCCAACTCTTACTGACTTACATGTAAAGGTAAACATGTCTAGCCCAGTAGAGGTTTGTGTCACACTCACCATATCAAAAATTCCCATGATCCTGGTGTTTATATTGTGATAGTGACTTATTGCGGACCGGGGCCTTTCTGAGTGGAGTTTGCCTGTTCTTCCAGTGTCTGCGTAGGTTTCCTCCGGGTGCTCCGGTTTCCCTTAAAAACATGTACAATAGGTCTGGCATGCACCTCCTGTACTGGCGACCTCTCTGTGGAGTCAGAGATAAAAGGCCTACAAAGAAAAAAACAACAATTGTAAAGCGCTTTGTGACAGTAAATGATTGCTTACTCACTGACTTACTTAATAGATAAAAACAAAGAATATTTATTATCTTTAAAAATAGATCCTGTTTGGTGTGTGCAATCTTAACTGCTCGTATTTCCTCCTTTTTTTCCTTCTGCTGTAACGTACGCAACAATGTACATCCCCACTGTGGGCAGAATAAAGGTCTATATAGTAACTAAACAAACCAGGAAGTAAGGTGTTGACCAGTGGGGGCGGGTCCCGGCTCAAGTGGCCAAAATGACGTGCGCTGACATGCTTGCAATGTCAGCGAACTACCCCGGGTCGACGGGGGTGGACCCGGTATAAGAATTATTCAATGCTAACATATAGCATTTGCTGACTTCTCGAAAACGTCTTTACAGGATGGTCCGAAAGTTGGCTCTTGGCCCAAAGCTCCGTTCCACATGTGTGTCAATGCTGAGGGAGTGTTTTGGACCAGTCTAGTTTACTTGCTGTGAATTTTTAAAGTTTCTCGTTCAAATGAATGGAGCTCGTGCAGCTGACGCATGCGCAGATGAGTTTTTTCACATTTTCCTGCCCCCGCGGCCATTTGGAAACTGCCCATAGACCGCGATAGTGATGGTACATTACGTTAATATTTACAGTCTATGGTGTTGACGGATCCCCTCTCTTCGCAGGGCGCTGGTGCAGGGCGCTCAGGCCGCGCTCCACTCGCTGCAGGTGCTTCTGGGATACACGCTCATGCTGTGCGTCATGTCCTACAACACGTGGATCTTTCTGGCCGTGATCTGTGGCTCCATGCTGGGGTACTTCCTCCTGGCGCCCCTCCTCTCCTCAACGCACAAACACAGCGCCACCATGTGACTATGCAGCACCCGGAGCATCCCCCCTGGATTCCGACATTGTGGGCGCAGAAGGAAAGCCCTGTTTTTGGTGCTGTGTGTGGTGTCGGTTCTGTTGTATTTAAGGCTCGGCCGGAACTGGACTTTTCAATATTTACAAACCTACACCCAAATTCCTTCCTCATAAATATCTCCGTTTATGACTAATGCGATTAAGACAACAAGAAACTTCCGGTTTCTTGGAGCAAAAATGCAGAACAAAAATGCAGCAAAAATACTGCTTTTTTTCTCCTGTGAAACCTGATGCAGACCACGTAACTATAGCCCCGTTTCCACCAGCCTTACTCGACTCTACTCTACCTGGTTGTGTTTCCATTACCCTTTAGCATCTGGTGCTGTATCCTAGCAACCCAGTATCCAGGGAATTTTCTCAGTAACCCTGGCTTTTAGCAGATTGGCTCTCTGGCCTATCTGTCAGTTAGAACACTTTAGTACCAACAAGCAACCAGCAGATACCGAAAAAGTACCTGGTAGCAGTTAAGCAGAGCCTGTGTAAACGCTCCCAGACGAAGTAGAGCCGAGTAGAGCCGAGTAGAGCCGAGTAGAGCCGAGTAGAGCCGAGTAGAGCCGAGTAGAGCCGAGTAGAGCCGAGTAGAGCCGAGTAGAGCCGGTTGAAACAAGGATCAAGGTGATGCAATAGTGGAAATACTTGTTCTGTTAAATCTGAGTTGGCTAACTTTAAAACCACAACCATTTGAACTATAATTCCATCTTACCTGTTCCTCTGTTACATCTTTAGATCCATTTTTCCAGACAGAATAGTTACATAGAAAAGACCATCCCTCTCTCGGCCAATCAGCTCTCGGCCAATCAGCTCTCAGCCCAAACCGTCAAATAGCAACTCACACAGCTACTCCACTTTTTGAACAATACTGACGAGCACATATCACCAGAATGATTGACAATTGGGAGGACCGATTATTTTGATGATCCACCCGGAAGTAAAAACAAATCCCTCCTCCTATACCTTTAAGAAAACTGTACAAGTTTAGAATTGTGTCACTAATTTAGGTGAAATATTGGTCAAAACATTTCTCAGGGAATGTATATTTTGAGTAAGTTTCTGAGACGTCGTGAAGATAAACTAGGCAAACGTTTTCTGACTTTTCTTGATTGAATTTGAATGAATTTGAATGAAATAACTTATAATAAGTTAGCTGGACACTAACCGGAAATCAAAATGTTGTGATGAATTCCGTTAAAAACTGTGAAATCTGTTTATTTTTTATGTTGGAAAAATCAGTTTTGATTGAGTTTCCCATGTTGCTTCACAAACCGGTCTCACGTCGCTGCAGACTTTGTGCTCATAAATCACACCACTTCCTTAGACCTTGACTCTGCACTTTCTCTCAGTTCACTGCAAAAACAAAAATGTAGAGAATGGCCAAACGGATCTATTGGGAACCGATGGATTTTTTTATTTTTGATTCTCCTCTGTTAGTTACCGATGTATCAACAGATTTGAAGAGAAATCTTGAATTACAATTTTGTTTGACTAAAGGAGTGGGGTAGATTCCAAAATGATGAACAAAAATCGGTGAAAGACTGGACACTGGTGGCACAGAAGGTCCTGGGTTTGAGTCCACCTCCAGACGGGGCCGTTCTGTGTGGAGTTTGCGTGTTTTTCCTGTGTCGGTTTCCTCCAGGTGCTCCGTTTTCCTGTACACTAAATTGTACACTAAAAACATGTACAATTTTTTTTTTTTACGTATGCTAAATTAAACAATGAATACGATATAAAATTAAAACAATAAAACATTTGAACAATAAGTTGGAACACACACACACACAGAGAGACACACACACAGAGAGGCACGCACACAGAGCGACACACACACACATGCAAAGATACACACACACACACAGATACACACACAGGCACACACGCAGAGCGACACACACACGCAGAGCGACACACACACGCAGAGCGACACACACACACATGCAGAGAGACACACACATACAGAGACAGATGTCGGGACACAGGCCCAAACACCCTCTGACCATACACCTCACACACTTCCATCACTGTGTGGAGAGATGTTAAGTTTGTTTTTTTCACTTACACATCTCTTGGCTTCACAAGTGTCAAAAATCAAATATGAATCCATGATAATGTTTTGTTTATTATAATTACTAGAAATATTGTTTTACCTTATAATACACCTGTAAGAAATTATACATTCATTCTAAAACATATTTTTCTTACTTATCCTCGTTAAGAATAACACTCATAACAACCAATGCAACTAATAATACTTTGGTTTTATATTGTGTTTTTCAGAGGAACTAGTGCTAATAAAAGAATAATGAATATCTCTGAAACTGAGGACTAATTTAAACATGAATTGATTCTAAAACCTGCTAAAAAACCTTAAACATTTTCATATTATTACATTTTTGTATTGTGCCACTACTACTGCCTCCTGACCATATTTTCTATCTTTGTATATTTTCCTAAGAACGGTGTGATCAGTTGTGTGTAAAAACGAAAGTGCCAAAAATAAACTTGTTTTTTAATATTGTTTATTGAGTAAAGTCTTTTGTGTGTTTAAAAAATGCACTTTTATTGTAGTATTGTAACAAAGACACAGATTTCTCATATGTACAGACTTGAGTTACTTATTGGAGAGACATCAGAGCACACCCTGAAGCAGGATACACTTCAAATATATCAAATGGAGCGATATTTAGTATTATGACAAACGGAAATCAGTTTTTAAATTAAATAAACTTTTAAATAGAAACAAGACAAAATATATATATCACAATGTATAATGTTTCCCTGTAGATTAAAAATGCAAGTGTCTTCATGTAATGTTAGAAAATCCTCTTGTAGCAGAAAGAACTTCAAATGGGATTCTACCAAACAAACGGGGCCCTCTACTGGTCAGGACCAGTAACTACACGCCAGTCTCAATGGTCTGTCTCTTGTCTCTCTGTGATCTATTGAAATGGTCTTTCTCTCTCTGGTCTTTCTCTGCTGGAGAGACAAAAACCTGTAGCCACACCTGCCTTCTCTGGAACCAGTTTGACACGCCCCGTTATAGTAGGTCAAGAATTATTTTGTCTCTGGCCATCCTCGATTACTTCTATTCGCATTGGTGGGATATATGCAGCTACAGTGATTCAAATATATGTTTTGGATATTGGAAAATGTTGCAGGAAGCTGAAATCTGTGAATAGAAATGAAACAAGATGAAAGCGCAGTTGTGTGTAGTGAAAAGGTTTCAGGCTTAAGTTCAGTAAAATAGTTTCTGACTTAACCTTTCATGAGATGGGATGAATCCAGGTTTGGTCAAGTAAGAAATAACACCTTTTAAAAAGATTTTATTGCCAATAATTAAATATATGGTTTATAAAAGTAAGTGGAAGGATAAGGAAGGTTGAGGAACGGGGCATTTATATATATCTGCCCAGTGTCCTGTGTGAGCAGGGACGGAGCACGGGGCGGAGCACGGGGAGGAGGCTGAGGCTGGGGCCCCACTGGGAACTACACACACAGCAGGCTGCAACAAGTGCTGTTGTAATCAGTGTTTAACTCTAATGAATAGTTAATTTGGTTGGGACAGTGCATGTTAATGAGCACACCTCTCCAACACACAAACACATTTTCATTCACCTACAACTATTGTACCTGTTTTTAATAGTAAGGGCACCCAAAATAAGTTAATACAATTTTTTTTACATTTACTGTGTTGGTCCCGTGGATCTATAATAACAACTGGATAGGATGTTACTAGCTTATACTGTAGCTGTCCCACCCAAATTCACGAGGGCTTCCGAGAAAAAAGTCCCAAAGAATTCAAGGTAAACTTAAACAGCTCGACCTCAGCTGACAGAGAACTTACAGCTTTCATAAAGGTCGGATTTTGTGGGGATTTTAGTGTCCTTTGTCATCCTGAACTTTTTTTCTTCTGAAATCCTTTGGTTTTCTTTGAAACAAAATGTTACTGCCACAAACTCTGCTTGCTTCCTTCCCGCTCTGACTTCGCTCTGATTGGTCAGAGCTCAGCCGAGCCCCTCTGTGCACGTGCATGAGAGCCACACACGTGTATTTGGAGCAATGCATCATGGGAGCTCGTCCACTGCACAGAACCGGGAGGACCAGACAATGCCCAAATTTAGGTGAGTTCTGCTAATCTTTCGGTCCCTGTGAATGTCCCATGTGCTACTGAGCACAAGCCATTCATTTGAATAGGGCGCCATCTTGGATCACCGGGGCTTGGTCGGCCCAGCGTATTAGCTCATGCTGTTTCCTGGAAGATCCCCTTTACAAAACACACAAATCAACAAGGAATGGTAAATTGTATATAATTTTGCGGATCAAGATTGATCAATTGAATTGGTGTCCCTTACCACCAAAAATCAGGGGTGCCCAAAGTGGCTGAAACTTCTAGAGACCATTGGCATAGGAAGTCCATAGGGAAGCCCATTGGGAGACCATAGGGAGTCTACAGTATAGGGAGACCATACTCGTTGTTTCCCTTTAGAAAACACCAATAAATACAATTTAACCCTTACAAATACTGTATAAATGTAACCTAACTTTTGCATGGGCACCCCTGAATGATGATAAACTATTTAAATGGGTCATCACCCTCCAGTCTTCACTTGACAACATTCATTTAAGTACGTATGCATATCAGGATTTTAAAGGTTACACAAATCTTGCCAAAGACGCCAAAACTGCTATGACCAGCACTCACATGGATGATCCAAAGAACTATTTCAAGGTAAGTTTTGGGGAACAATCACTGAAAGCTCACAAGAGTCCAATTTACTCAACACACAATTCCTTTCAAAGAGTCAAAACCACGTCGACATCAGCCTGAGCGACTTGTCCGTTGGCTACCGGCCTGTTCTCCGTGCTCTCCGGTTTCTCGATGGGTGACTGGAAACCGCTGTCGTCTTGAGAGCTGTAGCCCGCTGCCTGGACCCTTTGCAGCCGGACCAGATCTGAGTCCGAGTCTGGTCCAAAAAAGTTCTGGTCGCTGTCCTCCTCGTCCTGCACCGCAATCTCCAGTTCATGGATCGCGCTTTTGATGGCCGCCTCCTCTTCCATCCTTTTGCTGCCCATCAACCTCTCCAGCAAACTCTGAGGAGAGTTTTTACTTGGAACTTCCGTCGGACATGTTTTGGAATCCGGGACAATTTCGATTTCTGGAGCGGTTTTTCCGTTCTCCTCAGCAATATCTAGTTTGTCATTCTCTTTGACAAGGTCCAACTTCTCTTCAACAAGATCTACCTTTGCTTCAACAAGATCTACCTTCTCCTCGACTTTGATTACCTTCTCTTCGTCAATCTTTGGAAACGCTTTGCTATCCGGCGACAGCTGTTTTTGCCCGGATGCGTCTTCTACGTTCCGAAATTTGATGGAACTCCTCGGAACTTTGTCCAACATCGTCGTCACGTAAGTAACCTCTTCCTGAATGCCATCTCCCATCACCACCAACCCCGTCTGGCTCTCCGTACCATTGGTCACCTCTTCTTCCTCTGAAACCGGCAAGACTACCTCCACCACCGGGTTGATCAAGTCCCGAATTTGGTTGACCGCACCCGGAGAGTTGAGGTCTTCTTCTTCCTGGCTGGAAACGCTGTCGTCCTCTTCCGGAATCAGCTCGACTCCGGGGGCCTCCAGACACGACTCGTACGGGACCCCATCCAGCTGGATCATGGACACCACTTGGCGGCGTTTGCTGCTGGAGTTGGAGCGCGGCACTGAGCACTTGGGTTGCGGGGAGGTGTTGGTCGGGGATGATTCCGATGTTGGTGAAGGAGTAGGTTCCTCTGAGGAGAACTTGGAGCTCCAGTCCACAGGGTTCTCGTCCTCCAGCAGGTGCAGGTTGAAGTCGCTGTTGGTCATGACGAGGCTGTCCCGGTACAGGTTGTGTTTCCGCTGTTCGGCCGCTTCTTTCACCGCTGCAGAGAAAGAAGACAACCATGAATGAATGACTGATTGCACTGTTTTTTTAGCTATACGTTGCATTCATGTGACATCACAACTGGCCAAGGAGCCTATTGTCGTGGAACAGGAGGGGCAACATAGAAGCTTTTAATAATAATAATGCATCAGTTTTATACAGCGCTTTTTTGGACACTCAAAGACGCTTCACATGTCATCATTCTTTCACTCCAAACACGGTGGTAATAAACTACTACTGTAGCCACAGCTGCCCTGGGGCACACTGGCAGAAGCGAGGCAACCAGTATGTGCCATCGGCCCCTCTGACCACCACCAACCATTCACACACACATCAGACTCATTCTAGGCAATGGGGGTGAAGTGTCTTGCCTAAGGACACAACGGCAGTTTGGCACTTTACAGCCGCAGCCGCCCCACTGTGGCTGGTGTTCCCAGAGGTTAAGTGTCTTGCCAAGGACACAACGACAGTAGTCGGTGGGAGTCGATAGTGAAAGTCTTGAGGTGGGCTCGAACCCACGACCTTCTGGCTCAAAGGCCAACGCCAGCTCTACCAACTGAGCTACTGTTGCTTTTCACTCTTGTCTTGAGTGAGAACTGATTTCGAAACAGCGTACGCCTTTCATAGTTTCACTTCCATATTTTTAACAATGAGGAGGATTAAGCGGCTGTTAAAGTGGTTTCTGTTGATCTCTCTGGGATTAATATCTTCAACGTGGCAATGAAAGATAGAAATAATTTAATACATATGGCATAAATGTTGCTTTTAACGAGGCGAGAAATATTGCCCTTTTTTGGCGATTATGGTGATCAGTTTGTTTAACAGAAAAATAAAACATTTGTTTATTAAAAACAATGACTCTTCTGTTTCTTCCTGTTGTCTTGGTTACTATGGCCATATACTGCACAAAAAGACAGCATTGTTTCTCTGGAAGTCAACGAAGTGAAGAGTGCAGATTATCAATGTCAAAAGTCAGATTTTTAGTCTTAATTTAGCTTTGGGGAAATACTTACTGCTAATTTACACATCACGCGTTACAGCACGTACGCGTTATACGCGCAGCAGACGCGTGTAACTTTTTTCCATGTTAACCTATGATGATATTTACACTTCTAGCGTTATACGCGCGTATGACGGACGTATGATGCGAAGCTGCGCTCTAATTTAGGATGGATTTCTAATTTTGTGCGCGCACCAACGCGTCTCCCATTGAAATCTCATGTAAAACATTATTTTTCTAGCGGTCCTTGGCTCTAGATCGCATCTGCACACACACAGCACTTGTGTCTAAACATCAGCAGGAGGAGCAGCAGGTTTTACAGTGATTCTGGACATGGTTTTTTTTCTTTCATAGAGTCTGGCGTCTGGCCAAACCAGCGCACAGAGACCATGAAGACAAACACATGCATGTGATTTGTGTTGCTCTACATCAGTCCTCTGGCCCGTACTGTCCTCTACACTGCTCCATAGACTACACAGGGAGAGCATCAGAAGACGCAGATCTGCGCGCACGGCCTGTGTAGATACTCCAAACAAATGTTACGCGTAGAGAGCGCGCAGTAAACGTGTACGCGCTGTTTACGCCTACTGTGTAAATTCCCCGTTATGCTCATAGTGTTGTTGGGCCCAAACATCCAAGACACTCTCAGCATCAGGACAATCAGCTCGTCTCTACAACACCACAAGAATCAATATACTAATCAAAGACAATTAGCAACCAAGCACATGACTGACTGAACCGACTGAATGACTAAAGTGCTAGTGTGGTGCAGATTCAGAAAGTGCACACGCCCATACAATGTGCCTGTGCCGTCAAAGTGCCATGGTCTGACCTGACATGATGTCCTTGGAAACGGACTGGATCACCACCTCCTCGTACAGATTCTCCACCAGCAGGAACCTGGAGAAGTCCGCAAAGATAAGCTCCTGGAACTGAGGCAGCTCCTGGGCAGAGGACACAACAACCACGGAGCACAAAGATTAGAGATGAAGGAAAGTGAGGGCACGGTATGAGGCTATTCCACAGTTTCAGGTGCTATGAGCATTGGGTGGCTGCTCTCACCCTCCCGACCCAGAAATGAACTATTAAAGGGGTAGAAAATGAATGAAAGTGTTTTTGCAGTGGTACATTTTGGTTATTGATCAATGTTCCCATACATGGCTGACCCTGTTACCCTCGGCCCCACCTCTAGAGCAGAAAACGTCAAAATGTGTTCAACTAACTCTCACTTTTATGTCTCATTAAATGTCATCTTTTATATCTATTTGATGTAGGCCTAATATTTTAAGTCACAACAAGATTTATGTTTTAACAGATATAGACATTTTTGTGGAATTCTGTTGTGTCGATTTGTCAGCCGACCTTTTACCATTGAGTTGGGCTGTGTGTGTGTGTGCGTGCATAATGTACCAAATATCCCATGTAAATTTCTCCATTGTGAGATCAATAAAGTTTTTTCTAAATTATCTTACACAATTACAGAGTGCGTCTGAGAAATATACAGCTTTTTAGAATGAGATTGTGCAATGAGGGATAGATTCTACTCATTAAAAGTATATTAAACTTAAAGTAATTATATAAAATAAGAACAATATTATAGTAAAGGAGCCATCGACACCACCCAACCCAGAGACTGCAGGTGAAAAGCCCAGTAATGACCTGGTTCCGAACATCTTTTCTTCCATGTTCACATAAACCCTTTAACCATTTAAATTATTTTCACTTTGGAGCAGCTGCTGTGTTTGTAAATGTGCTTTACAAAATAACCAAAGCAGATGTAGTGATGTGTACCGGAGAGCAGGAGGGGGCCAGCTCCTGCAGCATGTACGGCACGATGATCTGGAGCAGAGCCTCCTTGAAAAACTTCTTCCGCACCGTGCTGCTGTCGTAGTCGAATTTCTGGAAAAAACACAAAGAAATGATTATTTTGAATATGTTTTATACTTATATTTTTGTACAAGTATTATGCTGTATGTAATGCTTTTGAACTTCTCCCTTTTTATTATTATCCCAATTTAGCTTCTCGGTTTGTTCCATTACTGTACGAGGAAAGTTTATCGTACATTTTTATAATTCAATAATATCATTTTGATGAAGTGACACCCATTCAGAAACATAAATAACAGTTTTAGAACCAATAAAGTCATAGTTTGAAAAGAAATATGGGAAAACATGTTTGATTCTCTGATTTGTTGTTGGCCAATCGACAACTTTGAAGTCCTCCGAGATATCGACTGCTGTGATTTAGGGCGATTCAACAATACATTAAATTGAACCAGAATCAGGAGTAAATAAGTTTCTACTTTCACCCACTCTTTTTCAAATAGGTGCGTCAAGATTCAATTTGTTTTGCCATTTGCAGTAAAACCACATTGGAAAAACTGTGCAAGACTACCTCAGTGTGCACCAGGATAATACACACCAGAGCTGTTGCCACGGCGACATATGTCCGGTAGAAATTACACAAATTCACATTTTTTCTCTATATTTTTGAACATGTTTGAAATAAATACAATAAGAACCAGTCCAGGACCAGGACCAACTTCTCAGATTGAATGACAAAATAATAATAAAGAAATACATATAGAAACAGAAAAAGTTATGAAGACCACAAATGTAACTACGCTCCCAAAACTAAAAGCCGTCATATTGACTGCTGTGGGAGTCCTAGTGTAAAACGTATCAGCCCATATTTGGTCGTGTCCTGCTCCGGTGCATGTGTGGAGCCTGACCTTGAGCACTCGCTCCTGGCTCCTCTGGATGCTCTTACACAGGTCTCTCTCTCCCTGAGCCTCCAGAGACTGAGTCAGCAGCTGCTCAAACGTGAACACGGCGTTGTCCATTTGCTGAGAGCACAAAAGCACAAAAGTGACATCAGCGGGAAGAAATCTACTCAAATGTTAATAATGACATTTTGACATACATGTTACAATCTAGTGGTATATATTGTATTATAGAAGGTAGCACAAGAACTAAAAAGTGTGTTCAATTTGTGTTTTGAAAAAAAAATGAGTGAGAGGAAAGTAATGTCACTCATGTCCAGTGATGGGAATAACGGCGTTACTAGTAACGGCGTTATTAACGCCGCTACTTTTTTCAGTAACAAGTAATCTAACTAATTACTTTGACTGTAACTATAACGCTGTTATCATTTGCTACATCCCGTTACTGCGCGTTACTCAAGACGCACAATGAACTTCTCTTTTTACTTCGTGATAGGACTCGTGTGTGTGTTGTCATGAGAGAAGGGAGGATGAGAAAACCTCTCAGAAATTATTGGCTGATGTAAAACATATTTCCTTTACAATCTACATGTCTACAGTTGAGAGGATGCTCATAAATTGTGTTTCTGAAACAAATGGGTCTTAATCGCGCTCAACCACGGCTTGTATCACCGTGAGGCCTCAGAGGAGCGCATGTGAGCGCAGAAGTTGGCTGCATACAATTCCATCGATAAGCTCCTTTCTCTTCCTGGTTTATCTGCTAAGGACAGCAACAGGTTTGGCTAACATACATATAACACATTTTAAGATAATTTAAAATGCACTTAGGGTAATTTTTCAATGACTATAGGAATGATAATAAAGAGAGGTGAAGTGTAAGACGGTTGATTTTAGAAATTGGATGCACACGGCTGCAGCAAAACAGAGGAGTTTATGGAGGACACACGTGTTTTGTTTTACTTTTTAAAACTCATTGGACTCATTTCCAAATGGAGGATTACATATCTACGCTCAAACTATTATCTGGACTTAAACATGGAACTGGTCTGAACCGAAGTGGACTGTGCAGGTCATTTATAAGATAAGACCCATAACTCATAGTTTTGCGTTTTGTATGAACAAACAATGCGGGCATGAAACATATTCTGCTGTAGCCAAACAAATTGTCCACTTGATTTATATGATATATATGTTCATCTGATTGAGCTGAAGTCAGTGCTTCACCGGTGTTTCCACATTCACAGTGGCGGGTGTTGGTGTTGGTGTTTAGTTCTTACAGCACAGAGAGAGATGAAGAGTGAACAGGACTTCAGCAGCAAAACAGACTTTTCTAGATGGAAATATTGGCACTATTTCAGACTCACTGAGGTTAAAGGTAGAAATGCGCACGTCGAGTGCACATTATGTTCCAGAACAAAACGAAAAAGTAACGCAATAGTTACTTTTACTAGTAACTAGTTACTTTTATAGTGGAGTAACTCCGTTAGTAACTCAGTTACTTTTTGGGAGAAGTAACTAGTAACTATAACTAAATACTTTTTCAAAGTAACGTGTCCAACACTGCTCATGTCCAGCAGGGGGAGATAGATCTGAGAGAATCTGTCAGTGCTGAACAATGGGGCATTCAAGGTCTATGGAGATGCGTTTGCTATTGCTTTGAATTCTCTGCTCAGTGCCACAAGAGAATCCAAAGCGCAATCACAAAAACTTAATTTCTTTGTGATAAAATAAGAAAGCTGTCAGCCGGAGTGTCTCGGCACAAAGGCTTCACTGTTAAAAACTTATATGCTGTGGTACGTGCAGATTTACGTGATTAATACTGTTTAAGCCTCATAAAAAAACCTGCTAACTTTCAGGTTGCATATAAAGTCACCATAGCAACAGCCAGCAATGAGCAGGTCACACTATTCTGTTATAAAGTTACTTCTCTTAAAGGTCTGTTATACATAAGGTTATTGACATGCTAACTGTGTGTGTGTGTGTGTGGGGGTGTGTGTGTGTGTGTGTGTAGTGCTGTGCTCGCGGTCTGCATACCTCTCTCATGAGGATTTGTCCGCGGCCCTTGAACACAGAGGGCCCGCTCACACTGAACCTCTGCTGCAGTCCCTCCAGGTCCAGCTGCTCCAACTCGTCGTAACAGGAACGCATCTTGACCGGATGGAAGGCCAGCATCGACACACGCTCCATCGACTGCACACAACACACACACAACTAAAGCTGGGGTCTCTGACTTCTGTCTCACACAAGTTTGTACCGACATATAGTGTATGTTGTATAAGTAATATTGTCAAATCTGTCACTATATGGAGGGGAGGGGAGGGGAGAGGACAAGAGAGTAGTAGAGTAGAGCAGAATGGAATAGAGTAGAGTAGAGTAGAGTAGGGTAGGGTAGAGTAGAGTAGAGTAGTGGAGGGGGAGAGGACAAGAGAGTAGGAGTAGAGTAAAACAGAATGCAATATTTATTTTTATTTAATCTTTAATTCAGACACACAAAGGGTCCATATAAAACAAAAGACAAAAAAAAACACACAAACCTTCAATATTTACCAAATTAGAGTAGAGGAGAGAAGAGTAGAGTAGGAGTAAGTCAAAAATTGCAGACGAGACAAGCAAAATGATCTTGTCCCATTGGCTACTCTTGTTTTGACACCGTCACAATGTCCTCAATTCATGCATATACAGTATTACCACTAGATTTGTATCCTTTTGCATTGTAGAAGTAGAGAGGAGTAGCTCAGAGTAGAAACAGAAGGGAGTAGGAGAAGGAAAGAAAGTGAACTCTACCCGACAGTGGAGACCTCCCCCTGGACCTGGACCCACCTCTCCCAGCCGGTCCTGGTCCTGGTCCACAGAGTCCTTGCTGAGCTGGACCAGTTCTGCAGAGAAGACTTCTCGGACCTCGGAGAAGCCCCGGCTGGTGGGTTCCATCAGCGCCTCCAGTATCGAGTTGACGTACGGCTGGACACTGCTCTGGGACAGCTGCTCGGCCTTCGGGAGGACCGCGGCTGAGAAGGGAGACAGGGACCACAGGGTCAAATGCCGGGTCAAATGCACAGCTTGGAGGATGGAGGCAGGGGCGAACCGGACAAGACAATCTAGTAATGATATCTATCCATCGATCAAGAGGAGAGACAGAGAAGGAGCGAGTGGATATTGAAGCCTATACTATTACTATACTTATTTTTATTTATCCTTTATCTAACATGGAAAGTCCCATTGAGGTTAAAAACCTCTTTTTCAAGGGAGTCCTGGACAAGAGGCTGCAAAAGATATGCACAGTTGCAAACAATTACAGATTATAAAAACAGTTACAGTCAATAAGGACGTCTCAAGGGTTCTCATTCTGGCTCTAATTGAGGGCCATTGACGTATTTGTCGGAGACCCTCTTTTCGGCTGGGGATTACAGGACAATAAAAATAGCTAGAAAAAAACTTATTTTTGCTGATGAAAGTAGACAATCCACTCTTTTAGAATCTGGTTTCATATTTCACATAGTCTCAAGAAATTATATTCTGTGGGTCTTGAGAATCAGTGAAATCATCAAAAACGGCTGGCAGTCAATGAGTTAAAAGCGTCCAAGTTCAGTTTGTTTCCAGACTTTTACAAAAGCTTTTTTCCCAGTTCTGTGCGGGTAAAGGGAACAGAGAGCAAACCGTAAGAACCGACATCTCTCTGTGTGATGAAATGACAGATGAAAGAGAGCAGTAAACCAATATATAAAATAAAACTAGAGAGCAAGAGAGAGTAGAGTAAAGTGTAGGAGTGAAGGGTAAATGATAGCAGTGTATTATTAATCGTTAAATTATCGTTATTAAGGACCGAATATTTAGAATGAGTCTGGTGTGTGTGTGAATGGTTGGTGGTGGTCAGAGGGGCTGATGGCACCGACTGGTTGCCTCTCTTCTGTCAGTGTGCCCCAGGGCAGCTATGGCTACAGTAGTAGTTTATCACCACCGTATATGGGTTGAAAGAGTATTGACATGTGAAGCATCTTTGAGTGTCCAGAAAAGCACTGTATAAAACCAATACATTATTATATTACGATTCAAAGATTAAAAATATACAAGAGTAGAGAGGAGTAGAGTAGAGGAAAGAAGGGAACCATGTTGTTACATAGTTGAATTCTCAAGAAGGTCCATTTTCCATGTCACTGTGCCATTTCTGGGGTTTTCTGCTTGATAAAAGTTCCCAACACGACCCGTTCTTTGTCCGTTACACAAACAGTTTAAACTTAAGAAAAGTAAGGCTTCAAAGTTCCAGGGCCACGTTTTGACGCAGAGGCAGCAGTGAAGTTATGTACAGTCAGAGAACCGGAATGTGGTCCGCTCACTTCAAACTGACGACAAATGACAACACGCAACGCCCACACGGACAGGGAGGGGGCGCCATCACAGCTCTCTGTCATCAGGACAGAGAGCTGTGATGATCAGTGTGATCAGACTGTCATCTGTCAGTCTGTGTTTAGAGCAATATTTGGATTGTGAGCATGTGTGTGTGTGTGTGTGTGTGTGTATGCGTGTGTGTGTGTGTGTGTGCGTGTGTGTGTGTGTGTGTGCCTGTGTGTGTATATTTGAGAGTGTGTGTGTGAGTGTGTGTATATGGGAGTGTGTGTGTGTATCTCTCTCCTCCTCTCTCTATGTGTGTGTCCACCTGTGGGTGTGTGGAAGTCTGTGTGTGTGTTATATATTTGAGAGAGTGTGTGTGTGTGTGTGTGTGTGTGTGTGTGTGTGTGTGCGTGTTGTCTGTGTGTGTGAGTGTGTGTATATGGGAGTGTCTCTCTCTCCTTCTCTCTCTATATGTGTGTGTGCCTACCCGTGTGTGTGTGCATGTGTGTCTCTCTCTCTATCTTGCTGTGTCTTTGTGTTTGAGAGTTTGTGTGAGTGTGTGTAAGAGTGCGTGTGTCTCTCTGTGTGTGTCTGTATACATATTTCTAAAACAAAAAGCTTTCATATCATAAAAAAGGACATAAGAGTTAGAAATACAGAGACAGATTTAGGTATGAAGACCAAGAATGTACACAAGCTGCATATTTACACACCCAAAACTTAACTAAAAGCTGTCAAATTGACTGCTGTGGGAGTTCCCGTCTCACCTCGGATCTTATTGGAGACGTGTTCTTTGGAGCTGATGATCTGGTCCATGTCGGTCCGAAGCGCCGCGTCCAGGGCTCCTCTCTGCGCCTCACAGCCCTCGGACAGAGCCTCGTACTGGTTGGTGGTCTGAGCCAGGACCTGCTTATACACGGCTCCAGAGATCTGCACACAGAGGGGAAGGTGAGAGCCCGGAACCCTCCTCTCACGTCCTTCTTTTCTAACCATGCTAATAAAACATTCAGAATTTCACTCTGAACCAGAGCAGAGAAATGGTCCGCACCAATCAGACTCTGCATCACTCTCATACATCACTTGCTGTGACCTGAAGTGCTGCGTGACTATTGTTAGTCACTTAATGTATGATGTATTTAGTTGTTTGTATGGATGGATGTGTTTCTGCTGCTGGACACCTGAATCTCTCCTACTAGGATCAATAAAGTATTTATCTAAGGCTTAGGAAAGTGTTTTAATCGGACACAACTTTTAAAGAAGCTAATACTGCTAATTACCGGTACCAGCTTCCTGTACATTTTTTGTTTAATTAAAGGACCCTCAACAGACAAAAGACAAAATTAACGTTTTACATGTATCCATCTGTCTTGTTCTATTTGACAAATGTTATTGCCCAAGGACACAACACCACCAGACAGTGGGAGTTATGAAGTAGGTTATGTGGTGAGATCGAACCCACGACCTTCAGGCTCAAAGGCCAGCACTTTACCAACTGAGCCACTATCGCCCACTATTTTACTAATATACAGTATCTAATTTTAGGCCATTGTTTTCTGAAGTTAACCCCTCCACCATCCACAGCGTCGTAGTGAATGTGTGGGAGACGAACCAACATCCAGCTGCGTTGTCTCTGCTGTAGTTTCCCTTTGAGTCGAGGCCCGATGGCGGCTCTCAGGTCCGGGTGCAGCTGCTCCATCACCAGGTTCGCCAGGATCTAAGAACACAAGACCTGAACCGTGAAACTCAAAATAACACGTACTCTGCGTTGGCGGCTCATCATCATTCAGCTGTAGTCTGTTCAGTGCTATTCACCCACTGTCCCGTGGTGTGTACATGGCGTGATGATGGGACCCCTATGGCTGCTTTCATCTGCACCTGTGAACTGGTCTCTACCGGTCTCGTGGGTTGCAGCCATTTTGGGGAGCACCGCACAGCCTCAGTCCTGGATCTACAGCCTCAGTCCTGGATCTACAGCCTCAGTCCTGGATCTATAGCCTCAGTCCTGGATCCACAGCCTCAGTCCTGGATCTACAGCCTCAGTCCTGGATCTATAGCCTCAGTCCTGGATCCACAGCCTCAGTCCTGGATCTACAGCCTCAGTCCTGGATCTATAGCCTCAGTCCTGGATCCACAGCCTCAGTCCTGGATCTACAGCCTCAGTCCTGGATCCACAGCCTCAGTCCTGGATCCACAGCCTCAGTCCTGGATCTACAGCCTCAGTCCTGGATCTACAGCCTCAGTCCTGGATCCACAGCCTCAGTCCTGGATCCACAGCCTCAGTCCTGGATCTACAGCCTCAGTCCTGGATCTACAGCCTCAGTCCTGGATCTACAGCCTCAGTCCTTGATCTACAGCCTCAGTCCTGGATCTATAGCCTCAGTACCCGTTCTACAGCAGGGGTCTCTTTTCAATTGGAGAGCTACTTTTTTTTTTTTTACAGAAATAGCGAGTTACTTCTTTTAGCAGTTATAATACACACGTAGTCTATAATAACTACGGCATATATACCATTTACTGCACAGTATCTTTATGAAACAATCCACAGGTTGGAGATCCCTGTTCTACAGCCTGAGTCCTGGATCTCCAGCCTCAGTCCTGGATCTCCAGCCTCAGTCCTGGATCTACAGCCTTAGTACTCGTTCTACAGCCTGAGTCCTGGATCTACAGGCTGTCTGTCTGTCTGTCCCTGAGCTTGCTCGCTTAGTGGTGGTTATTCCGCTCCCTACGAAACATTAACTCCTCTGTATTTGTCATAATTACATTTTTTAACCCTGAGACGACTGCTGTTGTGATTTAGAACTGTACAAAAATAGAAATGATTTAAAGTGTCATTTGGCGAGACGCTTCACACTTGAGTCTGTGTGTGAGACCGGAGGAGGCCACGCCAAACGGCAGCTGTGGCTTTCATAAATACTTCTCACCATTGTGTATGAAGTATGAGGAAGGCTGTGTCAATACATTCTATTCAAATTGATGCGTCATTATTGTGTTGTTGAACATTTCAAACAAACATTTCTACATCGAGGTTTGGCGTTTGCTCTGATGCTGAAGAAGGGAACCGTAAATGACAGATCTTCTTCAGCGGTCTCACTCCACACTGTCTGCTTTCTGCCGATGCCCTAAATAAATCATTATGATCTAAAAATAACAACCTACTTCAAGACAATCCCATAAGAAGCTCACAAGTACAAACGTCTTCTCTGATGCTGCTTTTCTAATAATACAGACTCAACTTCCTGTGTTTCAAAGTAGGAGCCGGAGACAAGGTTAAAGAGTCCGCAAGGCCACGTCCAAACACTGAGATCTCTTCGAGCTTACAGGGTTATGGTGCTGTTCTAGGTTATAGGGCCATAGACTAAATCAGGGGTCTCCAACCTTTTCCCCCAGAGAGCTACTTTCTCCATACAAAAAAATGGCAGAGAGCTACTTCAATCCATCCTGGGAAAAATGAGATATATTTGTATCACTATCACCAGTTGTTTATCACATGTTTGTTACCATTGCACACAGTATGTTTGTGAGCGAGCAAGTAATTCATGAAAAATCTGAAATATACAGTACATGATTGAATTGTTACTTTCTAAATCCATTGGGGAGCTACCTGGAAGTGGGTGGCGAGCTACTGGTGGCTCCCGAGCTGTAGTTTGGAGGCCCCTGGACTAGGTGTATCGATGGAGCTAAGCCGATATAGCGCTATGAAGACAGACAGGTCTTTACTTTAATAACGATTCTATTCACTTTCCCTGCGTGTCGCATGTGCCGCATGTGTCGCATGTGTTGCATGTGTTGCATGTGTCGCATGTGCCGCATGTGTCGCATGTGCCGCATGTGTCGCATGTGTCGCATGTGCCGCATGTGTCGCATGTGTTGCATGTGTCGCATGTGCCGCATGTGTCGCATGTGCCGCATGTGTCGCATGTGTCGCATGTGTCGCATGTGTCGCATGTGTCGCATGTGTCGCATGTGTCGCATGTGTCGCATGTGTTGCATGTGTCGCATGTGCCGCATGTGTCGCATGTGCCGCATGTGTCGCATGTGCCGCATGTGTCGCATGTGCCGCATGTGTCGCACTGGAGGACTTCCTTTGGTAAACACGACTGTTAAACAATGGAATGCAGCTCTGAGAGGTTGGAGACTGGTTTTGGATTCTATGTTGGACAGACTTCCCTGTATTGACCAAGAACAAGTAGTAGTGAAGCTTAAGCCTTTATCCCCACCGCTGTCAGACTGTACAATAAGTCACTTTAAGTCACTTGCATTAGGACTGAAAAACCTGCACTACTATTGACACTGTTTCTTCTTTTTATTGTTCATAATATATCATGCATTTAACATGTTTGCACATTTCTTTTTGCACAATCTTGAGTGTTTCTATCCATGCCAGATGTGACATGCACATATCTCCTGTGTGAGATCAACAAAGTCTATCTTATCTTATCTTAAATTCAGAATGGAAGCCCAAAGGCACGTCATTCCTCCCTCTACACTCCTGCACTGAGCTCAACAGTCACACACCTGTGCTTATCGTGGAGCCTCTAAGCTCACTGCAGCTCAAGCTACTGTTCGAGCAGCAACCCACCTCCTCCCCATCACTGCCTTTTCAGTGGAGTATCATGTCGAGTCATGTCTTCGGCTCAGCTTCTTCACCACCAAAAATAAATTGAATTGAATTGAAAGTGAAGTTGGTCATTTAACCGTTCTGAAAGCATAATTACATTTTCCCTGTGGTAGTTTTGAAATTCAATTAAATTCAATGTATTTTTACATAGCCCTGAATCACAACAGTAGTTATTTTGGAGGGCACTACAAAGTTGTCCATTCGCCAACACAGAACAGAGAAGCAAACCGTTCAAACACAGGAAACGGAATGAAAACAAACACATCAAGCCGTTGGTCCATAAGAGGCAGATGACCCATGTCCAGAAAATACACTAAATACCCAAAGCACAAATCGACAGTGATGAATCTGGTTGACGACTTTTATTTTGGATTCCGTACCTGGCCGGGGGTCCCACACATGAGATCCCAGCTGCCGTAGTGCCCTTGAGCCTGACGATGCAGACGCACACTGTTGGTGAAGGCTGGAGTCAAGACTGAGTTCTCCTCTGACAAACCTGCAACACACAACAAACAACACACAACACATGAGGACTACAGCTGACACCAACCAGGACCCGTCTGCTTTACCATTGTCCATAACTGTTTATGTGGGTTTTTAGAAAGGACATCTAAAAAAACAATCTATATTCAAAAAAACATACAAATAAAACATTGGATATCTCTTAGTCTCTATCTCCTTCTCTTCTGTAAACACATTTATTAAATACATACATTTTTGTTGACCTTGTGTGGCCCCCAGAGAAAACCCACCCCTGGTCCACTAGTCCCCTAGTCCCCTGGTCCCCTGGTCCCCTGGTCCACTAGTCCCCTGGTCCCCTAGTCCACTAGTCCCCTGGTCCACTGGTCCCCTGATCCCCTGGTCTCCTGGTGCCTTGGTCTACACGTCTGTGGCACTGGTCTCAATGCTACTAACAAATGCTAACAATAGCAATTTGACAAGAGGGAGCAAAGTGAAAATTTGAATTACGATTTAGACCATGGTTAAGGTACACATTATTTATCGCCCTCGGGTTAGGCATGTCAAACTCAGGCTCATGGGCCAAATCCGGCCCAAAAGAAAAATTTTAGTGGCCCCTACATTTATTTCCAATTATTATTATGAACTTGCAGCATTGATGGTAGTGAGCGACCAAGGCATGTCGTACATCCTCTATGTTCTCAGGAAAGAGACCAAATTCAATTCATTTTAAAATTTCAACCAAACGCATTATTAGAAGTTAAATATAAAACAGTATTTGATGCAGTTTTGGTTAAATTCAAACAAATGAACACATGTTGTTTAAAAATAAAAAATAAAAATCAACCAGAAAAGACCACAAAGTCATGTCAAATTTCCTTCATGACGTAAGAAAAACAAATACTGTATTCTTTCGGCCCCTGATCAGTTTCTATTTTCTTTGTTCTGTCCCTGACCAAAATGAGTTCTAGGGCAATGAGTTCATTTGACCCATCCTGCAAATGCGACTAGGGTCCCACTGTCAGGAGTCAGGGGCAGTGGTCGCCGAAGTACAGGGCGCAACCTCCATCATCAGGCCCATAGCTGGAGGTATTTTCATGTTTTTAGTGGTAAGAGAAACATACACAGACCAGACCCACTCCACTCAAACAGACCCTGTTCCGATTGGGATTCAAACCCAGGACCTTCGTGCTGAGGAGAGAGAAAGCAAACCACTGTGCTGTCATCCACGCCCAATCCACCCCCCACATTTCAGCTTTTGTTTGCCAATTCTCCAAGATCTGGCAACATATAAATAGAAAGAAACAGCATCAAACTGTTTTCCTTTTGCCCAAATTGGAAGCCAAGTATCACACATTCAAAACATACATCCACACACACACACACACACACACACACACACACACACACTGTAGGCTGTGATGTCTAATGATTCAAAGCTATCAACAGTGAACTATCAGCAGAACAGGACCTTCTAGCTCACTGCTGATGCTACTTTGTGCAGAGATAATAACCGCCCGCTGCCCTCTCATCAGGAGCTGGAACCTTTCATTAAACACCAGAGACACCACTTCTGGAACAATAAACACAGTCAGAGAGAAGCTGTGCACAGGAGCAGCACTGTATGTGTCATTTCACAGACCGTATCCATAGTAACCAGCTGCAGAAAAGGATAAAATATGATAAGTGTTTTGTTTTTTTTATCTTAATTTGAGTACATTCTGGCTCTGGTCTTAAAACAAGATTTGCAAATGGGACCAAGCCCCCATGCCGCGGGTCCATTGTATTGCCTCCCTCTGTTATCCTTGTTCCTGATTTCTTGTTCGGATTTTGAATTTGTTTTCACCTGCGCTTTAATTTAATTATCATTATATATCTTTATTTGTTTATTTTTTTGGGTCCTTCATGCACCTCATGACAAAATCTTGTTTTTTACGGCTGTCAAAATGTGCTCAAAATAACATACATTTAGCCAAATTTGAGCCATTTTTCCCTTGTTTTTCACTAGTTTTTGCAGTGAGTCCACGTCCAGTCACACAATGTTTGCGAGTACGTTTAATTTGTTGTGGTCGGTCAAATATGGCAGTAATATCACACTTGTGGCTTGTTCCCACGGCGACCAGATCACACACAGGTGCAGGTAAAAGAGGCTTTCAATATTTGTTTTTTTTTTTTTACAAGAAAGACAAATAGACTTCAGGGAGTTTGTGAGAGGTTGCTGTACAGTCTCCGCTCTCATGTTCCCAGGATGCCGTTCTTCCTCAGAGCTCTGTTTTGTCTGGAAGTAAAGACTCAGGGCTGTGACAAAACCAGGAAGTGTCCAGCAGGAAGTAGCACTCACTTCAAAACACTGCTCCAGCCGATGGTGTCGCACTGGCCCCGCATTTCGGACTCTCTGGCGCTTATCTTTGAGTCCGTGGACCCTCTCTCTCTCTCTGTCTGTCGATTCTTTCTATATGTGGACTATCTCTCTATCTGAGGTCTCTGTCTCTCTCTCACTGCGGACCCTCTCTCTCTCTCTCTCTCTGTCGATTCTTTCTTTCTGTGGAGTCTCTCTCTGTCTGTCTGAGGTCTCTCTCTCTCTCTCTCTCTCTCTCTGTCTGTGGACCCTCTCTGTCTGTCTGTAGATCATCTCTTTCTCTCTCTTTCTCTCTCTCAGTCTCTCTGGACCCTCTGTCCTCTACTACATCTATTTGTTTCATTCCTAACATAACAAAAATCTAGTTTCTCATCATAACAGAAACTCTTCTTCTGGGGTGATACTCAGCGTAAACACAGCACAGGAAACTGATGACCTCAAAGTCAAAGGCATTCACCTCGCCATCACCACGGCAACGGCAGCCAGACACAACACCCAGGTGCAATTTGAGTCAGCACGACGAGATGCAAAACAGTTTTATCCAAACACAAGGCTCAGGGCAGACCGACAGAAGTTGTGGCTAGTCAAATACGGAAGAATTTAACACATGTGGTTTGCAGTTATTTACATTCATGATCTTATCAGAGGATGTGATTATGAGCTTGAAGAACTCACTATATGTATTTTATGACATTGTACACTGTGGATGCATTTTTGGTGGTTTGAAAGTGAAGTACATCAGCTTTAAAGCCCGAACCGAATAATTTTTGTATAATACAGTATGTAGTAAGTCTGGGTCTGGTTCAGTGGTGATCGGGCTTCTCTGCTGAGGGGAATTCCTCCTCTCCAAAACCCAAAGCTAAACGCTGCCACATGTGGAGAGAGAGCGGGAAGCAGAGGGTTTTGTGGCTGGCAAACACACGCAGAATGCTCTTTATTTTGGCACAGACTCTCAGAAGTGACACGGGAAATATGTGGAGAGTTTCCAGACACATGAGAAACGACATGTATTGAAGGAGATTATAAATAACTGTGCAATAAGTTAGATTTAAATACATGTACGGTTAGATCAGGGTTTGGAAGGAGACATATTACAGACTCACTTTAACCATGTTCTCATCAGTCACAGACACAGAGTTGTTTTTAGATCCATCCACTTCTGACACATGCATGTAACTCTGCACCTTCTGTCTAAAGGCCCCTGTCACACTAATATAGGTTGTTATTATTATCCTCATTATAAATATATTTTTGGGTGAAATGATGCCCTTTAAACTATTTTTCACCCTAGATATTTTCTAAACATTTTATGAAAAAAAGTCAATGTCAAAAATGATGCACAATACTTCTTGTGGTAATCATAATCCTGCATTGGTTTTATACAGAGGTGGTGATGGTGGTGCCACTGCAGCCACATCTGCCCTGAGGCACAATGACAGAAGCAAGGCAACCAGTATGTGCCATCAGTCGCTTCCACTTCTACCAGACCAGACTCTTTCTAGACAATGTGGGTGAAGTGTCTTGTTTAAGGACACAACAGCACACAATGTGGCTGATGTTCTCAGAGGTCTCCCATCACTGTACTAACCAGGCCCTGCCCTGCTTAGCTTCAGAGGTCTGACAGGATCTGGTTTTCACATATAATTTAGGTTCAGTTAAGAATATTGATAATTATGTATAAATCTGAGGGAAAATGTACTCATTCAAAATAACAACTTCCAAACATATATTTCAACTGAAGAATAGTCGCTCGTCGAGGATCATTTATTGAGATAGCGCAGCTGTGATCTTTACAGGTTTGTGCAGCGTTCATGCTTCACCAGGAGACCGAGGCGAGTCCAGACAGGTCCTGAATGCAGAGAGCAGGGGCCCAATTAAAAAGGCTTTGGACCTGGACTGGAACACAATCTGTCCAGTAAACAAACAGTCCTGCTTTAGTCCTGCTTTAGTCCTGGTTCAGTCCTGCTTTAGTCTTGCTTTAGTCCTGCTTTAGTCCTGCTTCAGTCCTGGTTCAGTCCTGCTTTAGGCCTGCTTTAGACCTGCTGTAGGCCTGCTTTAGTCCTGGTTCAGTCCTGTTTTAGTCCGGGTTCAGTCCTGTTTTAGTCCTGGTTCAGTCCTGCTTTAGGCCTGGTTAAGTCCTGCTTTAGTGCAGGTTCAGTCCTGCTTTAGTCCAGGCTCAGTACAGCTTTAGTCCAGGTTCATTCATGTTTTTGTCCAGGTTCAGTCCTGCTTTAGTCCTGCTTTAGTCCTGGTTCAGTACGGTTTTAGTCCAGGTTCAGTCCTGTTTTACACCTGGTTCATTGCTGGTTCAGTCTTGCTTTAGTCCTACTGAATCCGAGTTCTGTCCTGGTTCAGTCCTGTTTTAATCCTTGTTCAATCCTGGTTCAGACCTGCTCCAGTCCTCTCCCCACTCATTTCTCAACATCATTCATCTCAATATTAAGATTTCACATGAAATTATATTGATATTTCTGATTGAAGCCAATTTGAAACTGAAAACAAACAAACAGCCAAACATTTCAAACTGAACCAGAACCAGACGGACTTCCACATCCCCGCCCACGGTCTGTGTCTGGACCAGAGTCTGCAGCCGGTCCTGGTAAAAGACAAACGTAATATCTGCGTCTGGCCGTTTTTACCTTCAGAGCTTTTTCATTACATAAATGACAGATATTGTTTTGCCGCTGTGTGATTATGTAGGCGGGTCTGTGGAGAAAGCCCTGAGACGTAAGACTGTAATTACGAGTTTGTGAATGCCCTCCGGAATGCGACCTTGTGCTTTGAAGCGCTGGTAACAATCTAGCCTCCTCTCAGGTAAAAGCATTGTGGAGGCTGTGGTAATGACAGGGCACAAGGGGGCGCCACTGAGACTCATCAACGTAATTACAGCGTATTGATGAGGTGATGTTTTTGTCTTGTGTACAAGGATTAGACCTGAACCATACTCAAAATACTGCTGCTTGAGTCCTGACAAGAACCAGGAAGAACCATTTTCTTAGACAGACTTTTAATGCATTAGTCCAGTCCTCAGGTCTCTGCGCTGGCTAGAATAGAAGAGACTTTAAAGCACAGGGACTGGCCTCCTGCTGGTGCCCTGAGTCAGTACTAAACAAGTGGAGGCAGCGTTTGAGGATCATGCAGCTAAATTCTGGAACAATCTTCCTAAAAATGTGAGGCCAGATGACCTGGCCTCCACAGTCAATCCAGATGGTTTTGGGGTGAGCTGGGCTATGAGTGAAGGCGAAAGGGCCAACAAGTGCAGCATCTCTGGGAACTCCTTCAAGACTGTTGGAAGACCATTTCAGGTCACTACCTCGTGAAGCTCATCAAGAGAATGCCAGGAGTGAAGCAGTAATCAAAGCAAAAGGTACTACTTTGAAGAACCGAGAATATGAGAAATATTTTCAGTTGTTTCATACTTTTTCTTTTAGTACGTACATAATTCCACATAAGTGAATTCATAGTGTTGATGCCTTCAGTGTGAATCAACAATTTTCATAATCATGAAAATAAAGAAAACTCTTTGAATGAGAAAGTGTGTCCAAACTTTTGGTCTGTACTGTATGCACTATTTTTCTGATCAATACACAAATAGACGATAGACAAATAGATTACATTGATTTTGCTGGATTTTTCCAAGAGTTCAATGCCTTGTTGTTTAAAAGTTAGGTATCAGTGACATCCTCAGCTCTGAGTATGACATAGCTCATTATCACTCATTATTTTTGTTGGCTTACGCACGCCCCTCCCACTCCCGCTGCGGTCTTTGTGCCGGTGGAAGGAGCTGGTTCCTCTGATCTCGGCGTGGTGCGAGGCAAAAGAATGGTGAGTATGTTGTTGTCGCGTTGTGTCGTGGTTACGCCCGACGGAGAATGAGAGGCATGCTCTGAGCTGGCACGGCTTTCATTTACCTGCGCTGTGAGGTCACTCTATGTACGCACGGGTTTCATACAGAGCGGATACAATCATACATACAATAGGAAAAAGACTTAGGAAAATATACAGAAGTCACAAGGAGACGATGACTGTGTTGAATGACGTCCATTAAAATGGGCTTAAATGTCTTGAACCCTTAGACCCTCCTCCATCGGCAAGGAACAACTAAAAAAAACAGGGGAAAAATTGAGAAACCTTGGAGAGGTCCACTGTGCGAGACTCAGGCTGTAGATTCTGGACTGAGGCTGTGGGATAGGCATGTCCAAACTCAGGCCCGGGGCCAATTGCGGCCCTCAGTGTCATTGCATGTGGCCCTCTGCCTTGCTAACCCAAAGTAGTCTTTAAGATCATAAACACAAGTTCACTGTGTCATCCATCCAACTTCAGCTCAGGCAGTATAGACATGTCGCTACTCATTCTAAAGCCCATATGTCTGGGTTTCAGTCATTGACGTTATTTGTACATATCTCTACTTAGGTGGTTTTTGATTGTGTCACTTGCAGTATGGTGCTACTGCAGCTGGTGATATTGGTAAATATTGGTCATTCAGCCCACTTCAGCTCTATTATAGATACATTTTTAAGATCAGAACAGCCAGATGCCAGCCAAGGCCATTTTCTGGCCACTGGACTAGCCTGGTGAACTAAAGTGGCCCTCTTACAAAAATGTTTGGACACCCTTGCTGTAGGACGAGGACAGAGTCTGGGCTGGAGTTTCTACTGTTCTGTAACCTACACGCCCCGACTGTGAGACGAATAAAGAATATCTAAATCTTTATTTACTCATTTTGTTCTGAAAAATCAAAGACTCAAGTTAAAAAGAATAAATAATATGGTTAAAATACTTAACACAATGTAAACCACGGGTCTCCAACCTACAGCCCAACCACACTTTTGGAGGTAGCACCCGAAAGTTTTGAGAAACGTGCAATATGCTGCAGAATAAGTACATTTTTCGTCAAATAATTTCTGGATTTTCTACGTGTTTAACTTTAAACCCGGGATACAATAGTTTCCGTTGGGGTTTTATGCATATTTGACATTAGTATTGTATTCGTTTTTAGTATTAAGCCATGTGTCTTTCGTGTAGTTACCGTTGTTGGCGTGGCGCACACAGTCCTGCAGCACAGCGAACCACTTGCTGTGCTCTTTATCGGTGAGAACGCAGAAGTAGTGGTGGCGTGCGTATGGGTGCCACAGGATCAGAGGGTACGACGTCACGGTCTTCAGGAAGGGAGTGCTGCTCGGTTTGGCCTTCACCCCTGGAACCAAGAGCACGAAAGACAGGTTTCAGAAAAGGTTAAGGGTCCAATGATCGAGCCCAGAGGGACCCCTGAACGTATGAGTCTGCTCTGTGGGTCTGACTGTGATTTCTTTCTGACTTTGCAATGTTTTGTGGGTTTCTTATTGATCCATTAGTTTAGTACTAGACATGCTGTTGATATGACAAGCCGGAATTTGCGAAATACTGAATACTTAGATTGATGAGACAGAGCCACGTCTGCCAGGTGCAGACTGTCCCCATTCAATATGTGATCAACAACAAGGTAACATTTGAACTCAAAGACTCCCAAGGCAGTGATTTTCAATGGTTCCAATTCAACTCTCTGAACTCTGAAAACATCCCCAAAAACAGTTTATGTTTCACTACTTTTAGTAAACTACTACTTTCAGATTCCTCTGAATCAGTCCAGGACCAGCACCTCGAGAAAAAGAGCTGAATCATTATAGTTGCATTCCCATGTTTTGTCTCCTCCATCACTTCACCACACAACTTTTTCTCCCTTTTTGGGTTTTACAATATTTTGTCTGATTATATTTTACAGGTTGCACTTTTGGTAATGTTTTGATACACTTTTGGTAACTTATTAGTGCATATTAGTGCATATTTGCGCATACTGTGCGCTCCTTCCTGGTCCCGTTGCGGCCTCTTCAGACACCACATGGTTTGGTTATTTTAGCGGGTTGTTAGCTGTCATTGGAATGTTGTTTAAGTTATAATTTTAGTAAATGTGTGTCTAAATTATATACTGTATGCTAAAATTCACTTTGGTGCCAGGAGGTCTGAGAGCTGGCTTTGAGGATGCTAATGGAGAAGGCCTTGTCACATTGTCCTTTTGTTTTCTGTTGGTTTCTCTTCCTGTGGAAGGTGTGTCTTATCTCCTCCAATACTGCTGTTGAAACTGCTGAGCTTCAGACATGTTCTGGACAGGAGGCTGATCTGACCTCTGCTCTTTCTCTACAGACATGTCTTCCTGGAAGGGCAACTAAGTAATAAAGAATGCCTGAACTATGCCTTTTGTCTTTGTGATTTTCTCAGGATTGACTGTGATTAAAACAGCAATATCATTAGCCTTTTTTCCTGGCCTTATTTTTTTTTATCTGGTGGGTTCGGTGGTTACATTTTCAATGGTGAGGGTGTAGCTATTTGGGTTTTCTTTATTCTTGAGTTTGGGTGCAGGCATTGGATCCGGACGGCCCTGTATAAGGTTAGTTTGGTGTTGGCCCATTTTGTTTGCTTTGGCTGGCCCACCAGGTCCACCTCTAATTTGATTACTTTGGGTTTTTGTTTTCTGGACACGGGGTTGGGTTTTGCACTTCATCAAGAAATTATACAAATAAAAATCTACTTTGAACTCTGAACCTGCCTCTCTGTCCTTTGGGTCGTAACAATAACAATACAGTTTGTTCATATACTGTAGACCTCTAAAAGCTGGGAGAAATGTCATGAGTGATTGTGTGTCTTACCTGGGAGACTTTTGTCGATGAGCTCCAAATACTCCTCCAGAGAGTTCAGGACCCTGTAACCGGCACAGTTGATGCTGACTTTAGGTTGCAGTCCACGCTCACAGTTCTGCGCGATAGAAAAACCAATGAGAAATGTTCTGTGATTGATTAGGTCTGATTTGTTTTTGTGTAAAACTCACGGCTTTGCTTTCGTAGAAGTCGATGTCGTAGGTGTTTGGGATGGACACGAAGCGGTTCCTCCACTTCCGGTTCTCCTCCAGATACTGCAGCAGACTCCCCGAGAAAATGATCCTTCCATCCAGAGGGTCCTACGCCACAAACATGTCACATTGTAAACAGAGATTCAACTAAACTTTATTATTGCTAGACAAAGCATAGACAGGACTGGCCAAAAACATACACAGAGGGTCTTTGCAATTGCATTTTTTTTCACAATAGATCCTTTCTATAAGATTGTCAGATCAATTTACTAAAAGTTCTGAGAAAAAAAAGTAATACATAAAAATAGGTTTGATTTTTGATCATTCAAGACTTGTGCCAATTCAATTCAATGTTTCAATATTCAAGATACATTTATTGTGTCCCATAGGAAATTTGTCTTGGACTCACAGGCTGCTACATTGTATTTGTGTATAGCCCTAAGTCACGGCAGCAGTCGCCTCAGAAAACTTTACAAAAAATTTGATTTGTTGAATTTCATTACATAGAAGCTATTTTGTCCATAAAGACCGGGATGACCAATAAATGTTAAACAAAATTGCATAAAGTCCTTTATTGTCCTTGATCAACGGCGAGTAATAACTAAAAAAAAAAACCATTGACAATGCTAAGCCGCTAGCTCAACAAAACCTAATTGGGAAGTGCTCATGGACAAAGTTTTACTCTTACTCGCTCTGCCTCCTATTGACGTACATTGAAAAGTAAAGTCCTCTACCTCAGTAACCGTCTGTGTCACACTCACTATTTTGAGCTTACCAAATCATGGTTTAGCTTTCTCTGTGATCCTGGTGTTTATATTGTGATATTGTGACAGTGTTTTTGTAAATCCAGATTTGAGCCCTAAAATCTGACCAAGTCTTTTGTCACAGATTATGGCTGAAGCTACAGCTCTAATCGGCCTCTTTAGCATTAAGTAGTGATGTCCACGCTCTGTCAGTCCACTCCTAATATAAGGTCTATGGTTTTACACTTATATATTACTGTTTTTTCATATTCAGCAATAAATGTAAAAAAATGTGATATGTTAAAAAGAAACGGCAGAGCGATTAACAAGATCAACTAAGGAAAAAGCTGCACAGGAAAACCTCAAATCAGCAATATCGGACCACTGCAAAAGAGAAAATCACATAATGGACTGGGACAACGCAAAAAATAGTAGGAACAGAAGAACAAAAAAACAAAAAATGGATACGAGAGAAATCAGGAAGCGGGGCGCACGGACCATCAACAGAGCCGAGGGGGCTTTCACCTTGGCTCACACTTGGGATTCACTTCTCCAGAGACCACAACGCGGCAATCTGTCAGACTTTTCAGGCACGTTTAGAGAAAAGAATCATATTCGTGGTAGTTTTAATGGTAGTTACTCGTGATAATTGAAGGAATAGTGGAAGCAAGATACTACATTCAGTTCACCACCAAAAGTATTCCTTCAGATCCACGGTATGTATAATTTACAATTCTCCTTTTGGCCTTGTATACTCGGATTCAGATGCATTCATGTGGAAAATGTGTCCCACTTTCTGCCGAGGCCACAGCAAACCCCCTCTGTACCAGGACGTCCTGTTTGGGCACTGGTATCAAAGAGGAAACCGCCCATATATGGAGATAAAGTGGACAGAACAGGACGCGTATGCCATCGCTGTTCTCCATGCTTTACGTTCGCCAAAAATGACAAATAACATACTTAAATTTCAGTTAAAAATAGATGCTTCTATATAATTTACATGTATACTCAATGGGGTAAGAGAAAACGTCATCTACCAATTGTGTAAGACCTGCCACTAGGTTTACCTTAACTGTGAGAGACAAAAAGAGATAAAAATCCAGAAAAATCTTAATTGAGGTGATTGAGGTGAGGGTTGTTGATTAAATACTTATTATCCAACATCAGTTGCAAATAAATTCATAAAAAATCAGACTTTCTGGATTTGGTGTCTATGTTTTTGTGCACTATATACAATATTGAAATTGCAGTTGATTCAAAAAGCTTAAAAAAATGTATTGATGAAGTTTGATCAATGAACCCCATGAACTTTTCCACATTTTCACACGTCACAGCCACAAACATAACTTTAGTTTTTTTATTTCTCTATGGCCACAGTCTCCAACCTTTCTTACATGGATCGATCATTTTTTTGGGACAAAGATGCCAGAAAGCCAATATTGCGAGCTTTATTCTTATATGTTATTAGTAGAGCAAAGAAAAATGAGAAATGATTGAGCTATTTCATTAAGCAATAAAACAAGCAAATTTTAATCTTCAAACTCAAAACTCATTGCTTTCCTGTTTTCCTCCATTTCGTCGTCATGGTTCTATGGTCTTTTATCTGTTCCATAGATCTATATTTGAGTCTAGTTTTAGGATTCATAAACAGGCAGACAGCAAGAGGTGGGGGGTATCTATCAGCCAATCATATCCTCTGCCACTATCGCCAGTTCTTCCTCTGCCATCCCGTAAAAAATATTCACATTCACACTGATATCAGAGTCCTGGCACAAACATTTTATAAACATGAAGATGAAAAAAGAGCAGCAGTAGATGTTGCTCCTTTACCTTTCTGCGTGACACTGAAAGATTAAGAACATCCACTTCTTACAGTAATTATACATGACAAAAGTTTTTCAGATACATGTTTCCATATTACAACATGGACATACTTGTGGCTTATAATCCGGTGCGGTTTATTGTCCGGAAATTACAGTTTTTAAAGATATCACATAAGGTATCATAGTTCTTCTTTAACTTGGTGTTTTGAGTGTGGTGTGCTCTTGCCTTTCGGTGCAGCAGCTGTGTGTGTTCTCCTCCGGTTCCTTCGATCTCCGCTCTCACACTGTCGAACAGCGCCACAGAATGCTGCTGCTCGTAGACGCGACCGAAGTCACTCATCACGGCCCGGGTCCGCCCTGGAACACAGCAGAACCAGAGCAGGGTTAAAGCCCAGAGAGAGAGAGAGAGAGAGTATGTACAGTATGTATAACTGAGGCTCCAGTACTGATGAGAACCAGGTTTCTGCACTGGCTCCTGTGGCTCAGAGAATAGACTTTAAAGCAGTCTCTCCATAGCCTCGCACCGAAGTACATCTGTGACATGTTAGTCCCATATGAACCAAGTCGGACTATGAGGAGCAAAGGGACTGGCCTCCTGCTGGGACTCTGAGGAGCACAGGGACTGGCCTCCTGCTGGGACTCTGAGGAGCACAGGGACTGGCCTCCTGCTGGGACTCTGAGGAGCAAAGGGACTGGCCTCCTGCTGGGACTATGAGGAGCAAAGGGACTGGCCTCCTGCTGGGACTATGAGGAGCAAAGGGACTGGCCTCCTGCTGGGACTATGAGGAGCAAAGGGACTGGCCTCCTGCTGGACTCTGAGGAGCAAAGGGACTGGCCTCCTGCTGGGACTCTCAGGAGCACAGGGACTGGCCTCCTGCTGGGACTCTGAAGAGCACAGGGACTGGCCTCCTGCTGGGACTCTGAAGAGCACAGGGACTGGCCCCCTAGCTTAGCGGGTTAGCATTGACCATCTATATACAGTCTATGGTGTGTATGCGTGTGTATGTGCGTGTGTATGTGCGTGTGTATGTGCGTGTGTGTGCATGTATACGTATATGTGAGTGTGTGTTTGTGTGTGTATTTGATATTGTATTGTGTGGTTGTATATATGGTTTTGACACATCCTATTGTTCTACTGTATGGTTTTTTTTATTTTTTTGACAATTCTCTATAAGTTTATTAAGTTTATTCTACAGACTATCCTTCACTGTGCAAAGTCTGGCCACAAAGTCTTTAAAAAAAAAATTATTGAAAAATGCCACAAAAAAAGCAGTCTCTGCTAAATTCAGAAGCAAAACTCATAGAAACAGCTCAGTCAGTAATCTATGGTCATAATCTCATGTTTGTTTCTGTGCCGTAAGTTCCTGGTTCGAGCTAAAAACAACTCCAGTTCTGTTTTTAATGCGGAACAATGCAGTTAAAAGCTAAAACAAGAGATTTTTTTTTTTTTTGCCTCACATGACTGGCCACACTATGCAGGTGCTAGCCCGTGGTAATACAGTGATTTTGCAAAAATACTAAATACAACTTGATTTTTTTTTATACATTTTGTCTTGTTTACAACAAAGTAACATGAAAAATGTTTTTGTTTTTCTTTTTTTGTGGATGAAAACAGAAAAGTGGAGCAACACAAGTCTTTTGGGGACGTCTCTACAAGCTCTGCACATCAAAAACACACTGGAAGTTTTGCCCATTCCTATTTGCAAAACAACAGTTTATTTGTATGTCATTATTTTGATTATCTTTTATCTCTGCTCTGGAGGTTCTAGTTTGAGAATCCTCTTTGGGAGTCAAAATGTCAAGGCTCAGGGAAAGATGTGATGGTTCTACGTTACTTAAAGATGTAGTCAGAGATTTTTCTCCAGACGCATTTTTTCAAATATTGTGGGAAAATGTCCCTAAAACCTAAAAGTAGTCAAGTAATCATGTGTTTTCAAATAGTAATGGAATTGACCAGATGCCTATAGTCTCCAAAAATGTATAAAACATATCCTTCATCCTCAACGAACCAATGGGATGTGTTTACCCCCTTCACCCTCTTCCTGTTTCTCGTGAGTGCATGTACCTGAGTTATCGGATTATTTTCTATAACCTAAAATGACTGAACAAAAAATGCAAATTTCACATTTGCCGCCCACTCTCCCTGTTGTGACAAATAAAATAAAATGCTGGATGTTTGGTTTGGTGGAGAGGCGAGGGGAGGGGGGAGTGGTTTCGAGTTGGGGCTATGGCTAAGCTAACAACATCACTTACTGCACATTTAAGGAAATTTCAAACAAAGACAAATGAACTTGAACTCAACTTATTTGAATAATTGATTAATCAACAGAGATGCTGTGAAGAAGCATTCTGACTGTCAACAGAGACTACATATACAAGGTCCTGCCAGGCGTAGCATTTAAGCAATGCTAGGCCTCAAGCTTTCATTCGTGCAGCAACCCCCCTCCTCCCCATCAGTGCCTCCATTCAAAACAAATGATTCATCAAGTTGGGGGCGACAGTGGCTAAGTTGGTAGAGCATGAGCCTGAAGGTTGAAGGTTCGAGCTCACTGTGAGATCTACTGCTGTTGTGTCCTTGGGCAAGACACTTTACCCATTTTGGCTATAAGGATCTGTATATGTGTATTCAACTGAAATCTCCCCACTGTGGGACTAATGAAGGACAATCTTTCTTTCTTTCTAAGTTGATAATTGGCAACTTATCGAGGAAAAAACATTAATTAACTACACAGCCCTGGTTGTACTTTTACTTCCGCCTGCTGTCGTGGTTCTATATCTCGTCACATAGTTAGAGTTTTGTTCTACACTTTGAGTTGCCTTGTGTATGACCTGTGCTATACAGATAAACTTGCCTTGCCTAGTGCAGAATACAGTGGTTGAAGTGGATGGCGCTGGCTCAGCAGAGGGTCACGGAAAAACACAGAGGAAACCAATGACAGGACATAGCAGAAGAGGAGGATCATGGGAAAGAGGAGGCCTTATTACACTCTCCAACAACAACACGGGTCCCACCGCTGTCGCAAATGAAAAGAGACGATTCCAGCCTCCTTCTGCAAATTACCGGGCAAGTTTATTTGTATAGGACAGTTCAGCCACAAGTCAACTCAAAGTGCTGAATATAATAATCCCAGTGCATTAAAATACAGGCCTTTAACCTGCGATTGGATGATTTGTGAAGGTTCTTTCTCTAGTCTAAGGACAGTGGTGATGATACAGGACATTTATGTATTTTTTTATTGAAGAGTCAGATTTTTGTCATACAGTTCTACAGATTATATGTTTGGAGATTTAATCAGACAAAAAACAGGGGGTGAAGATAATAATTTCTTTAACAAAAAAAATCGGTTCCAGTTGAAAACGTTTTTGAAAGTTAATTTCTGTGCTGCGTCGAGCCGAGACATAGCAATAACGTTTGTTGAGAGGTTTCTGAATGACGTCTTTATTGCTCAGAATGACAGCTCTCACGTTATACTGCACTTTCTCACATACCCGACATCGCTGCTGTCACTCGCACCTCTAATACTCCACTCAATACTCCTGTCAGTACTTCTGTCAGTACTCTTCCTCTCAGTACTTCTGTTAGTACTTCTGTCAGTACTTCTGTCACTAGGTGCGGAGAGAGCGACTACAGTCCAAATTCACATGCCACAGACTGAACAAACTGAGACCCTACGTGAGATTATCTAAAGACAGCTTCCCTCGCGACCCGGCAGCGGATAAAGCGGAAGAAACTGCATGGACGGAGATTTGCTTTCTGAGATTAAGTTTGTTAAAAGTGCATTATGCAAGTTTTTTATGTGAAATGAAGTGGATATTTTTGTATATTTGACCCATAGATTGTATAATAGTAGTGAACTGACCAAGTGTATTTGCCGGTTTGAACATAAGATAGCTAGAGCCAGTTTCTCGCACAAATGAAGGCTTCTGATTGGTCCATATCTGGATTTTCAAAAAGCGGTAACAAAATATAAACACCAGGGCCATAGAGACCACAAAACAGATTTTTTTAGTAACAGAAAGTTTTATAAGCCGCAACAAATTTTTTGTTCTTTGATCCCTGCGGCTTATATAACGATGCGGCTTATATGTGTATTATTATTGTGTGTGTATTTATAATAGGGCTGCACAATATTGGAAATTAGAGCGATATTCAATATGAGTGTTAAGTATTTCGATAACAAAATTATTGCGATATTTTTGTCTTTCACCTAAAATTTCACTCTGCATTGAAACGCAAGGGACAAATAACAAAAAATAAGAACAACATTAATGACATTCAAATGAATATATTTATTTTATTTGTTTGTTTGTCGTTCTTGTTGAATGTTGATTTTTTGTTGTCTCTAATAAAGGAAGTATCTTTTTATCGCACGCACCAATATCACGATATCAAAACATTTTCTCAATATATCGGGCAGCCCTAGTTTATATACTCATTTTGACTCCCTCACGTTTTAGTAGCGATAGGACGCCTCGCCATTAAATCATATATCATAATCATATCGTGTCCAGTTAATGAAATCAGTCGTCTCTCTGCTACAATACAATCTAACTGCGGCTTATATTCAGGAGCAGCCTATATGTGGACAACACTGATTTTCTTTGTAAATATCGCTGGTGTGGCTTATATACGGGTGCACCTATAGTACGGTATAGGAATATTAACGGCTTATTAAACAAGCGCGAGGTCTGAACAGAGAATTATCAGACTGCAGCCTTTTTGTACAAAAAGGCTGCAGTCTGATATTTCTCTGTACAGACTTAGCAAGCGAGGTTAATAAATGTTTTATGACTATTTTAAATTTGTGCATATACCGATCGGTTCCAACTAGCAAAAACACATGCAACCAAACTGTCCAATGGTGACATGAAGAACTTACTTATCAGATGATTGAGGTCGCCCGCTGGTAAGTTCTCAATCTCTTCTGTGTCTTTAACAATGCTTTTTAGATATTTGTGAAGTATGTTCATGTCCGACTTGGTTTTCCTAATCCTGTTTTTACTTTTCTGGTCTGTAACAAAGTTGTCAATCTCTTCTTGACTGTCAAGAGTTGTGTTTTCGTCGTTATTTGCTGTTATTACTTCCTCTGGCTCTTCAAACTCGTCCGGATAATAGAATTCACTGGAGAATGCTCCCAGTCGTCGCTCATTATTTCTTTTTCACAGAAGAGAGATATCAAATTTGATACGCGCTGCGGACCAATTGTCATGGTAACGGTCCAAGATGGGAAAATATCAGACCGCAAATCAGCCAATCAGAGCGCGCGTACGATCCAAGTCATATAATAATAATAAACATTATTGTACTTGTGAATTATTATTATTATTATTAAAGATACCATATTTAAATATATGCATACGCTCTTCATTTGACATGCCAAGAATGCGTTAATTATAAAATAAAAACATTGTCGGCTGTTTTTCATTTTTTGAATCCACCCATACTTTTTGATTTTGAGACTACACCACATTATGACAAAGCCGGAATTCTGTGCGGCTGCAGTGAAGTAAGAGCTTGTTTCCTTATAAAGCCGTGTTATTGTTCGGTCATTGTGTTTGTATTTCAACTATTTGGCTTCTGTCCAAAATGACTAACCATGATTCAGGAGGACGGTGATGCTTTGGTTTTACACAGCGCTCTTTCAGACGCTCAAAGACGCTTCACATAGTATTATTCACTACATTCTTTGGTGGTGATAAACTGCTATTGTAGCCACAGCTGCCATGGGTCAGACTGACAGAAGCGAGGCAACCAGTATGTGCGATCGGCCCCTTCCCACCACCGCCAGCCAATCACACACACACACCAGTTTTGGCTTTACATCACTTCACGAGGAATTTAACACTAGGACAAAACCCAAAACTCTGAAGCTACGAGAGGAGCAGTCATTTTGACGGCTCCAATTCAAATGAATGGGATTCTACAGTTTTAGGTTCCCACTTCTCCTAAAATTAAGTGTTTTTATTTTATTTTAAATACATGCTAAAACTGGTTAATATAAATGAAACACAGCTAAACCAAATGCTAGCTAAATTGCAGCAAGTAAAACAGTTTGTTGCTATGGTAACTAGCCCTTGCTCCATGCTGAGATTGCTCTGAACCAGTCCAGGATCGAGATAATTTCACAAACATAATAACATAGAAATAAACTACATATAGAAACAGCAAAAGTCACTATGTTTTGAAGTCTAAAAATGTACATTCTAAACAAAAAGCCGTCAAATTGACTGCTGTGGGATTTCTAGTGTTAAAGACACGCACACAATTCCATGTATCTGAAATCTGTGGTCATTTTTGATGGAATTGAATATAAGACTCAAAAAACAGTTTGTTCATAAGAGACACATGAGGGGGGAGGAAGAGGACCCAAAATACAGGAATCCCAAACTAATATGATTTTATGAAGTTAAAAGCAAACTCAAAAATCAGGAAAACCGACGGACGTAGACAATGGACCAGCAACAAAATCGGGATGAGCACAAAGAGCGTATACAGACACAGAGCGAAACAGAGGGAACAGGACAGGAAGTAAAACCTCAACCAAATAACAAAAAACCCCAACAGCATGACACAGCAGACTTTTTAAATCTATAACAGAGATGCATTCAATAAAACCATGTAAGAATAATGTAGGGATAAATGCTTGGTTACTGTGTCGATAGTGACTGATTCAGAAGTTTATGTTTTTCTGCAGCTTCGGCGCCAAAAAGGGTTAAACTCCAACCTCAGATCTTACATCAAAACGACACTAATAATAACCAAACCTCCAGTGACTTTGCTAAATTTATCTGAGTCGAATTTAGAATCAATCAGAAATTCCTGCTCCACATCTGGGTCAACAATAGGAACTTATCTCATGATTTGATTACTTGATTATCTATTATCTTAAATAACAGATCCGGTTTGATAAGATTTACACACTGAGGGACAAAAAGTATCTTATCCTATGATCTTATCTTAATTATATTTTTTACTAGCTTGAAATAACCATGAGATATAGTCACCTACTGTCATTTTTTCAAATCTAGTTTTGGCTTTTTACATGTATTTGTTTGTATTTTACGCTGTTTGCTATTTTATTTTTCATCTTCTGTGGGCAGCTGTTGTACATGTGCCATACAAATAAATCTGACATTGACATAGAGACATACTGTAGGTGACAGTTCCAGACCAGACGGCAGCTTCAAACCTCAGACCTCTCTATAGGATCCAAAGTACTGGGGATGGAACTATACTGTATGTTACTGTGTTTCAGGCATGACCAAACTCAGGACCGTGGGCAAGTCACGGCCCACAATGTCATCTTCCGTGGCCTTCTGCTTTGCTACACAAACCCACCCTGTCATACAGCCAACCCCATCTCCGCCGTCAGACATGCTAGACCTCTTTGCAAAGCTCAGACCCTTTTAATTTCTGTCTTCGAACTCGTAAAAAAATATCATAATATAAAAATAAACATTAATTCTTATAATCTCCAGTCAAATCAAGCGTCCTGGCATGAGGATCAGTCTGAACTCCAAACATACAAGTATATTACAGCACAAAAATATTCCAATTATTAGGCAAGGTAAGGCCAGTTTATCACGCTTCATACACAACATAATGCAAAAGTCAGTGCATTAAAAAACAATGATTAAAATGAATTGCTTTGAATAATCACAAAAGAGTGAACACAATTCTTCAGTCGTATGCATGGCTAACTAGAAATATTTTTGACCTGGATTTAAACGTTGTCAGAGAAGAAGCCTGTGTCACATTTTCAGTAAGACTGTCCCAGATTGTAGCTGCATCAATTGGAAACGCTGCCTCCCCATGTTTAGTGCAGAATCAGAGCTGCTTTAAAGTCTCTTCTCTGAGCCACAGGAAGCAGAGACCTGAGAACTAACTGTGATTTTACATCTTTTGCGCCGGGACAAATATATATACATTTATTTTACAGGTCTCTACATCTAATTTCCATTGACATTTCCTCCAGAGAAAAAGAGAATTGTTAAAAACCCAACAGTTGTTCATTTGTCAGTCTGTTAGAGCTGACCCCCAGACACCAGCCAGAACCGTTTTATACAGTATCCACCAAAGACAACGTAATCCATCCTGGCCACGTTGTTCCCACTTATAATTAGAGTACATGAGTCACCAGAGCCCACAGCTAAAGGGCTTTTTCTTCACAAAGAATCCAGCCATTCCAGCCAGTCCTAAAACCGATTCCCAATTGAATTTGTACATATATTTTTTTCAGGTGCTTCAGAGAAAGTAGGTCGTAGTCATGAAGGGTAAATGTTAAATGATAAAAATTCCCACATGTAATCAGAGTAAATCAGGCAACGGAGGACAAAACTACAGGGCCTCAGCTTCACAAAGACACTAGCCATTTGTTTATAGCTATCCACAGCGTTCACATACAGATACAGTTTTAATTATAAGGAATTCCCAGTAATAATAGATTTTTTTTGAGGATCAAGCGAAAAAATGTCTCCATAACATTTACACTGATTTTTACTCATACAATTCGTTCCCTTTTTTTTTTTTTAAATCTCAGCCTCCTCGGACGCCGCTCTCACCTGCTATCATCTCCCTCCTGCTCTCATCCAAATGCGAGGAAACCACGTCCCCCATTTTTACGCGCGCTCCTCAAAAAAAAAAAAAGAAAAAAAAAGAAAAAGAAAGCCTATAATCCAATACGTTCCAGGAGAGACAGTCGCGCACGCTCCAAGCCAGCTACAGCCGCTCAGGACACCTCTTCTCCGGGATGTGCGCCTCTCTTCGCTTCGCCTGGTTCTGTGGAAGAAGAATAGGAGAGGGCACACCCACAGCCGGGGCGCCTTCATCACTGGTTGGACGTGTTTAGTGGCCAGGCGCGGGGTGTGGCCATCTATGACATCCACGGAGACATGTCATTATTCTGCTGTTTGGATCAGACGCGCGAAGGGGAAGAGACGCTATTGACGCGGGCGCTATAAGACATTAAAGTGTAGGCGAAAATGTATGTTTTGAATGGGTATAGGTCAGGTTAAGCTTGGATCGTGTGTGTGGATATAGCCATTTTCTCAATTTGGAGAAAATGTCAGTCTATGGGTCTGTGGCTAGGAAGAAGGTAAATGGCGCTCCCGTGTGGTAAATAATAGTAAGTCAATGTAAATCAATAATTTACAAAACTATGTAAATAATTACGTAAATCAGTTATTTTCTTAAAGGGAAAAATATACGTATTATTCTACAAGCAGCTTGGTCATGTTACCTGTTCAATAAACCTTCTGTAGTCAAATTTAAAGGTGCCATATCATCACAGTCCATCCTACGCACAGGTGTGATAATAATTTAGGTAATGCACTATACATCACTCAAAACTTATAGCCATTACGTGCATAGAGATGATGTCACCTCATGTGAGCTTTGATCTGTGCTCCTCTGTCTGGATGTCCCGGATTGATGATCCGGGACATTTATGGCTCTAGAGACCACATCACCCCCCTTCTCTGACAACTTCACTGCCTTCCCTTCTCATGAGCAAGAGCTGTTTGAAATGTGTTCTAACTTTGCACACTCTGCGTACATTGTGCTCCCAAACAAACCAGTCAGGGCACATGAGAAATTCATTGAATTAAACTGTTGCAGGAAGTGCGGCTCAGTCTGCACTTCTGCTCCAACAGGCAACAGGTAAGGGATCTCAGGATATCAAGGCTCAAATATACTATTACTAATATGCAATGAACTTTCTTCATTGTAGGACAAATAATATTTTGATCTAATATGACGTGCGTGGTGGGCTTCTAGTTTGACTCAAAAAAACAGGAGAGAACTTTCTCTTTCTTTTTGTCCTGTCGCTCTCTCTGTCTTCAGATCAGACATGTCCAAACTAAGGCCTCGCTATAGAGAAGGTTTCACTATAGTAAGTTGGTTGTTGTCTTATTATTCAATTTTTTTTTTTTATCGACAAGGGACACTAAAATCCTCACAAAATCCAACCTTTGTGAAAGCTGGAGGTTCTCTGTTAGCTGAGGTTGAGCTGTTTTAGTTCTATGGGGAACATTTCTGGGTGGCCCATATCAATTTAGTCTTGTTTAGTCTGCAGTACCGCAAGAATCCCCCCAGCACTTGGGTCCGTCAGCTCCAAGCTATAACACCCTATCCAGATAATAAAAAAATAAAACATAGAAAATAATATTATACAGACAAAAGTGATACATAGACATACCAAAGTGAAAATGATTGGTACAACAGCAAAAAGAACATTGAAGCAGCGACAAAACATAAGGACATACAAAGAGATACAAATATTGAGACAACATGAAACATTACATAATGAGCGGTGTGTGTGTGTGTAGGTGTGTAGAGATGTGTGTGTAGGTGTGTGTGAGTGTGTAGGTGTGTGCGTGAAAACATTGAAGCAGCGACAAAACATGAGGACATACAAAGAAATACAAATATTGAGAGAACATGGAACATTTCCATATGGGAGGGAGGGTGTATGTGTGTGTGTGATAGTGATTGAGAGTGGCGTGTCTGTTTTTCTTGTCCTGTTGTGATGCAAGTGGCTTCGTTGATAATTATGTAGGATAGGAATAATGTAGTAGATGTATAGTGTAGTGCGGCTAGCCTCTAGATCAGAGCCTTGCTGTACTCCATGAGTGGGGAATCTGCTTTTATTTTGGGCACCAGCAGAGTTTGAAACTTCTGCACAGATCCAACTAATTTGCCTCAAATCAGTCTTATAATCTAATAGGTAGTGAATGCGTATATCGGCCAGGGATATCCAAGATTTAACAACACGACGCTGAAGTGATTGAGTTAAAGATAACGGGGTTTATTGACTACAAAAATGAAAATAGAAAATATAACGAAAAGGGTTTCTGGTCACATTAAACAGAAGTTGTATACACATCATTCGAATCACACTTCCAACAAGGAACAGTCTTACTTTGAGCAGCGTAGAGGGGTGAAGAAAGGGTTTGGAGATGAATGGCCAGTCCACGTGTTCTCTTTTGTCCGGGCAGGCGGGAGACACGAAGCCAGCGGATCTAGTCCAACTTTGATCCACGCATATACAACGCAGTCCGGAATGCGTTGCGTGCGTGGAGTCCAGAGCCAGAAAAGAGGCTGATGGTGGAACAGTTCGTGAGGTCCCGAGCCAGAAAGGAGGGCTGTGCTCGCGGAGTGGAAGGCCCAATGCGTACAGGCGCGGCCGTAGTAGGAGACACGTACCGCGGGACGCCGAAGGGAAGCTGTTACAGTAATTACAGGGGGAAGCCAAGAGAAAGAGTTACAAATTGTGTGTGTTTATATTGACTTCTAAAGGGGGCGCGTCCGTGACGTCATCCTTGTGCGTCTCTCTAGACCAACATGTCCCAAGGCAAAAACACATCATGCAGACATCCACAATCAGATGCAGGATTAATACCAACACTCATAACACATGTACAAGCGCACAATGCATTTACATTACTGATAACGATACACACGTGTAGGGCACAATACAGGTTATCCGAATAGTGGCTTCCCGGGTGATTGTTTAGACTGTCCGACCGGGTGTGATAGTGTTCAGTGTCCACTGGGGGGCGCCATAGCGCCGTGGGTGAGTCACAGATTGTCTCAGAGCTGTGGAATGTCCCGGGAGTGAGCAGATTATTGATCTCTGATCTCTGCCAGGCAGAAAGGCACAAAGATGTTTGTTCTGGGGCTCGGTTTATGGCCTTGGTTGACACTTATGGTCTCGGTGACCGATGATGTCCTCTAGTTGACCTGGTCGTCTCTTAGATGTGCGTCCAGATGGGTCCTGCTCAGGAGGGCATGTTTGCATATGTTGGGTTGCTGGTTAACGTCCGACTGGCTGTCCTTTAATTCACCTTACAATTATAACTGAAAATGTGCTATGAATGATGCCCATGTTTCATTGAAGGCCAATATATGCCCCCTTCTGTGGGATGTATTTTTCTCTGTTGAGATATGGTCTATGAGTAGGTTTGTCCAATGAGTGATGCTACATGTCACTTACTGCCCATCGTACGTCACTTTACCTCACTGTACTGCTGTCACCTTACATTGTGTGCACCATGTGCACTGTATATTGTAAATAGTAATTGTAACTCTATTTTAATTTTAATTTTAGATTTATTCCTTAGAAGTGTTTTTTACTCATTTTTTATTATCTCTCTGACTGTTGCACTGAGCCAAAGCAATTTCCAAGTCTGTGACCTCCTGTTACTTACGTGGCAATAATAATGATTGTGATTCTGATACATTTTTTTTTTTTTTTCAATTTTGGAATATTATTTTCTTTGCGATGGTTAGAGAGATGAGTAGGGAGTCATGGTGTTTGCTTATGAGGTTTGTTTGAGTAGTGTCTCCTAGAAGACACAGAGCGGGGTTTAATGGGATTCTGCAGCCCAAGATGGTGGAGAGTTTGTCCGTGACGGAAATCCAGAAGGTGTGTACCGGTTGACAGTCCCAAGTGGCATGCAGGTATGTATCTGTGCTCCCTGAAGCGCAGTGTGGGCTTGTGTCGGTGTCTGTGAATCCCATTTTTTTTTAAACGGCTTTGTGTGTGGTGTTCTATGGATTGTTCTATATTGTATGAGTTGCAAGTTATCACATGTTGTTATAAAGGAGTTTCTACAGATGCGGTTCCAGAAGTCGGGGTTGGGAGAGATGTCCAGGTCCTTTTCCCATTTGACAAAGGCAGTGTTAGTGGATTGTGAATTGTTACTGTCAGGGCTGCTCCTCCAGCAGCCCCTCCCTCCCCTGCTTCTCCTGGAGCGGCCTCCCAGAGCAGGTGGATGGGAGAGGCTGATCAGGCCCAGCTGCCTCCTGGCTCCAATCAAGCTACTACAAGAGCTCCAGAAGCCAGCTCATCGGTGCCAGTTCGTAATCAGTGTTACTGTGCGTTAGTAGGCCTGCTTGTTTATCGATCTCGTTACTTTTGTCTCACCTTTGTTTTGCTCTGCCTCAGACCTCCGTTCCGCACCGCCTGACCCCAGCTCTGCACCCAGCCCTGCACCGCCTGGTCCCAGCCCCATTCCCGGCTCTCCTGTGTTTTGAGTCTACCTATTTTTGTTAATTAAACTTTTTGTTACCTCTGCACTTGGGTTCTTTGTCCGACTCGTAACAGTACGAACTGGCCAAAGAATGAACCCAGCAGACCACATCAACCAGACCCTTTCTGCCCAGATGTCTCTGTTGGAGCAACATACAATACGCTCAAGGCCCTCATGGAACACATGAAGGAGTTTTCTATCAGCCTGGCAAGCCTGAGGACTCAAGTAATCAACACAACGGCCACTGATAATATTTCTGCTCCTTCTGCTGCCCCATCGCTAGTCCTGCCTCCTCCTACCAGAGATGTTTTTGTTCCTCCACCGGCACCGTACCACGGCGACCTGGGGTCATGTAAGTCTTTTTTGACCCAGTGTTCCCTTATTTTTGAGCAACAACCGCTAAGTTATGCTAATGATCGAGCCAGGATTTCATACTTAATTGGATGCCTTCGAGGCCATGCTCTTAATTGGGCCTCCGCAGTTTGGGAGAGACAGGATCCAATTTGTGATTCCTATTACGATTTTACTGCTGCTATGAGGCAGATTTTTGACCATCCTGTTAGTGGCAAGGAGGCGGCTAAGAGA